CTGGCTGGCATGAGGTGAGGCGTCCCTCGCCGTGGAAACGTCTGCTTCAGCTTTTCCATGCGGACGTGCATGGAAGCGGCAAAGAAATGCTCGGTTTTTGGTCGTCTGGAGCGCTGGAATATCTCGCCTCAGGAATCCCAGGATTAGCTTTAATTGCTGCCGTAGCTCTGCCCACTCTGGGTCCCTTCCACACGTCAGCCATCCGGCGGATCAGGAGCTGAAGACGGCGGCGGACACTTTCTTCGTCAGAGGAGCCGAATCCACGGCGACTTATGGATGTTCTTCCCCGTGGTTCACGCAAGAGTGATCAAGCATGGCTTGTTGGGCGATCAATCACAGGTGGCAGTACGCGCACACCGGCTCTGCCCTCATTCCGCTGACAGGTACCGTTTCCTGTCTCGCGAAGATAGCCAGATAAGTTAGTTTTATTGTAACCCTGACAGATGTGGAGTTTAAACGTCCTGAAGCGAAAGTGAAAAGGGGAAAAAAAAAACAAAGCTGGGGAAGATGAAATAAAAGACAGGAGAGACTTGACAGTCATTTTTTTAGTCCAGCTAATTATTCCTTTCCTCTATCACTCTGTGTTCAGTTTTACACACTTATTTTCCTTTAGCCTAGTTATGAAGACTCAAAAATGTCTCATTAGCCTCCCATTTTTTCCAGCTCTCCCTCATTTTTTAAGTTGTGTTTGCTCATCATTTATCCAGAAATGTCTCCCTGTCCCTCTGCATGAGCTAAGTGTGTGTTTGTAAGAGAGAGTGGGTGTGACCTGGCTACTCTATATTTAGCTGCTGTGCCACTTTCTCCTGTCCCAGTGCACGGCAGAGTGCAGAAAATTGATGAGACTTGGTTTCTAAACTTTCCTTTTTTAACTGCATGCACTATATCGAGTCCAACATGCAGATGTGTGCCACCATAGGCTAATGGGGCACCAATGAATCGGATGGACGATTACTTCCTTAATTTTGGGAGGTCACCGATTGGCTGATACTTGGGTGAGAAACCAATCTTATCCACCAATCTTATTTACCTACAGAAGGGTCTGAAAATCACCCACTGTCACCTTGAGAGAGAGAGCTGACTGGTCATATATGCACATGTGCATCAGGGTGACAAAAGTTAGCCCAATTTAGCAACTGTGTCTCTTTATTTAGCTATTTTTCAGGCAAAAAAGAAAGCCAAAATTAGTATTGGTAGATCAAGTTTTGTAAAGAGATGTGATGATTGGCCAAAAAGCTGCAATCAGTGCACTTGTACCCGAGACTGGATTTTACAGGAGTTATTGGTTAAAGCAAGGGGAAAAGCATCTAATACCTCCGATAAACCGTCCGGTTTGTTTCGGATGTATTTTCAGAAGATTCTGTGTCGCTGAGCAAATTCTAACCCAGTGACCGTTAAATCTCACCGCACAGCATCCAGCTCAAACGGTTAGCGCGGTCAGTGTCTGCTGTCCTCGCACGCACGCATACGTCTCACACACACACACACACACACACACACACACACACACACACACACACGCTGCGGTCCTCAGCTTGTAGTCTTGTCAACATTTGTCTTTTTTTCTTCCCCCCTTAACCTTTGATTTTCCTCCTGCTCAGTGGCAGCCAGCCAGGCAGACAGCAGTTTGCGGGGCCTGATCAAACGTTGTTGTTGCTTCGGATGATAAATGGCTCAATAGTGAGAGAATCCAGACTGATCTCTTTGTTCGCTCACATGTGGGGCTAAGCTCCTCCAGCTGCTCACAATGTTACCGGCAGATACAAATGTAGCAAATGTTGTCCAGTGATGGGAAGGTAAAGAAAGAAAGCTTTCACATTTTCAGATTCTAGGGATTTTAACCTTAACTTATTAGTCTCCATTTAAACTGAAGACTGCTTTCTACTCAAGCGCACAGGGAAATGTAGTTAAGCATGCTAATTTGTTGTGTTTTCCCTTGAGAGAAGGCAGGGAACCAGTTGAGGGAGTGAAATGGAGTAAAGATAGAAACAAGCCCTGATTGTCACCAGTTTCCTCAGGTGGCAGAAGAAATTACCGTCTTATTAGACGGTAAACTCTTGGTATTGATGATGCATTTTTAGACAAACTGATAGAGGATGCAAATGACAGAAGGCAATTGTCAGCACACCACATACACAGCCCATAAAAGATAATCAGTAAGACAAGTAAATCAAATAAATATTTCGCCTTTGCTTTTACCATTTATTCCGCGATGTGACGATCCAACTAAAACACTGGATTTTATTAAAAACAACACTTCGCTGTGAGCTGAACCTGGAGTTACTTCTAATTCTTTATTTTCAATTCAGTGTTACAGACCTTAAATGTATTTACATACCTCTCACAAAATGAGATATAAAGCCATTCAAAATGCCTTTCAAAGTATATATTGTATTAGGGTTGAAACAATGAATTGTAATCAATTGACTGTTGACATAATCCTCAACTAATTTAGTGGTTCATTAATTGTCAAAATAAAACTGACATTTACAGGAAGAAGGACATCATTTATCCAAAACTGTACTAAAACCATCTACATGTTGTATTTAAGATAAAAACAACTTTGTCTGTAAATAGATTGTACCCAAAACTCCTGAAGTGGTTATCACTTGACTGTGATGTCTAAGAATAAGAAAAAGAGGAGAGAGTCATAGTGAGGCAGAATGTCACAGAGACACATGGGCGGACACGTCCCGTCCGGCTCATCAGTCACATTAACCAGACGTCTGCTCTGTCTGAAGGGCAAAATCTGTGTTCCTGCCTGCTGGAGCTCGGATGGAGATAATCACTTTAGGGAATGCTGTGTCTGTGCGTGGTAGTTACTTAAGCAGGTTTTCACTTATTGAATATCTCCTCAACTTAAGCTCGGGATTACAATTCACACCACAATCTTTTTTTTTTTTTTGCCATTACTTTTCATATTTGCTCCAGATATCCTTGCATGGAAATCATATCAGTTCTTTTGTGTGCCAGGAGATTTTCACAAGAAAGCACCGCGGTATTAGGAAGAAAGGAACTGAGTGAAGGTTCAGCCGCTAATGGGTTATTCATTACACAGTAGCGATGACTAAGATTAGCAGTCTGAGAAGCCGAACTGAGGTTATAACATTTACATTCAGGCTTGATTTTGTTAACAGTTTGCTTACGTTGGTAAAAACTACTTCATTTAAAATTCTCTCCCAGGTGAGAATTTTAGAGTATGTGTTAACATTACACGTGTTAATGTTTCTTTAAGGTAACTTAAAAGGAATCCATGAATGATTTTGTGTTATTGGAAAACATGACAGTGTTGGGTTGTTCAATCATTCATAAAGGAAGCTGGAAATATAAAGGAAATAGAAATATCAGCAGCAAAGGCAAACGGAGGCATGCAGATTCACACAAAAGCAAAAATAATAATACAGAAAGAATCAGAGACTGTACAGGATTCAAGAAAAAATTTGCTCAAATGAATCAGGTCAAATATGGTGCTTGAGACATTTGTATGTTTATTGTGTTTTTGTCAGCTGCTTGAGGATTTAGAGTTGCTAATAAAAAAGTCAGCATTTTCATGTTGAAATTTCAACTGCATAAAACAATTTTAAAAGGGCAGTGTCATGCAAAATCGACCTTTTGAGCTTTTACATCATGTTACAATGTTAGTCCCTGATCAAAAACTTCCCTGAAGTTTTGCTTAGATGTTTGAGAAATCAGTCAATCTCCTATAGCAATCATTCAGCTGTGTAAAATGTCTGGGTGGACCTAGCTCTGCCTTAGAGGACGAAGCTCTTCCTCACAGATGTCACTCAGCACCTGCAGACTAGCCAGCGGCAATTAGCAAACACCTGGAAGTGGCTCATTACACGAGCTGCTTCTCAACGCTGGTAAACTCTCTGTTAAAGGGTTAATAGAGGATGAGATGACTCCCTGAAGCCAGAGTTTCAGACAGAGCAGGAGGTTTTGAAGAGACAAAGGGCCAATTACATTGCGAAGTCAAATTTCTTTTCAAGTCATTTTTGATATATGTAGTATATATAGCTACTGAAGTGAACATAGTTGCTTGATTGTGGTTCAGAATGAATGTGGAAAAAATGTAATACTGCCCCTTTAAAATATGCAACATTGAAAAATCATGACATCACAGGAGGTAAATTAGATAAAGTTCTCTCAGATTTCAACATGGTGAGTGAATTCCATTACAGGCCATTCTGGTCCCGTTTTATTGTTCCCAAGTTTTCCTCAATAATTTTTCTCCTGCAACCAAATAGTGGTGAGCAGCTTGTAAGGAGTAATTTGACTGAAAAAAATACAAGAAAACAAATGAACACAAAATAAGTAGTTAGTTGCCTTTTGCCGTGTGTGATGTCACCACCAGAACAATGTGTTCGTTGATTCTTGTTAGCTGCTTGCAGATTTAAAGATGCTAACCAATTATGCAATGTTTTCCATTGCGTAATTCAGGGTCAGCAGCAAAATAACCACACAAGTACAAAGAAATGGCCAACGTATGTTGTTCTGCAGGTGACAAACTATATCTGAAGGGTTTTTAAAACATTGATTTAGCAAAAAAAAAAAAGAAAAGGAAAAAAAGAGTCAATTTGGAAGCTTTAAATGTACATTCAAACTCGGCCGTTTTACGTTGGCAACTGTGTAGTGTCAGCAGAGTACAGAGGGAGCTGGGAGGCCCATCTTTCTTTCCTTCTGTTGTTTCTGGCCTCTCTTTCTCCCGCTGCAGCCGTTTCTCCGGCTGTTCACTTTCAGCTTTGTCTTTTCCTAGTGTGTAAGAGAACAAGACAATAAATTGTGACGCAATCCAGCTGCATGTGTTTTGAAGCGCAGATCTCCAGATTACAATTAGACGGCATCTGCTTTGTCCCAAAGTAATCTGCCCTGAAGGGGTGGGAAAGAGAAAAAAAATGCACGTTTGGTTCACCTAGAGGGGAAAAAAGGAACAGTGATGTTTTCTTTTATCATTCTTCAGCTCTAAGCTTTTTTTCTTTCTTTCTTCTGCTCCTCTTTAGGATTTCGGAGAAATGAGGAGATAAGAGCGATGGAAGTGCTCCCCATCCTCAAAGAGAAAGTTGCTTTTCTGTCCGGTAAGATTTTCTTTTAAATTTTTTTATTACTATTATTTTTATTTTACTTCCCATGCACGCACGCACATCTCCAAACCCCAGCTGTCTGTTCTGAGCATATCAAAGTGTGTTTACAGTAGGTTGCAGAGACCCATCACACACAGTAACTGGTATGCTCTACAGTTCCCTCTCTCTCTCTCTGTTTCTCTCTCTCTATCACACGCTCTCGCACACACAGTGTGGACATAATAACAAGCTGCTCACTCTGCCTGTTAAAACTCAGGAGAAGGGAGGTGAGAGGGGGGTAAGTCCGAGACCCCAACACTTAGCCCCTGACCCGTCTTCAAACACTTTGATGCATGCACACACGCTCCCCTTCAGAACACACACCGACCGGCGTACATTGTATAACCAGTGTCAACAGTACTGCAAAACAAAGAGCTGCAGCTGCCCGTGTCTTTTCTGGGCTTCGTCTAACACACACACACACACACATCCTAAAACTCACGCAGACAGCTTGAGTCGTGCTGGAGAAAACTCGCAGCAGGCCCCTAAAAAAACGTCCAGCAGGATTCTTTGTGCTGGACGTGAAAATATTATCCTTTCTGAATTTGGGTGTAAAGGAATAACGCTCATGCAGATTACATCCATACCGATGTAGAATGTGTGCACGCGCGTGTGTGTGTGTGTGTGCGCGGACGCCTCTTTTGGTCCCTGTCATGCGTGTGCTGCAAAGGTCACAGGTAGAAGCACAACGATGAGGACAATGACTCCGATGAAATAATACTGAAGTGGTGAGAGGGAGATGCAGAACAGCGTTGCTATGGAAATGACTTGCCATCGGCCAGCGCATCCCAGGGTAGACGCTCGCGGAGTAATTGACTTTGAAATGGACGAGAGAGATAGAGAGGGAGGTAGAGGAGAGGCTCATGGTGAAGAGGGAGAGTAAATGAACTAAGCTCATTATCCTGAGTCTCCTTCCTCCTCCTCCACCCTTTTTAAATCGCCCATGCTGTCTGTCATCTGTGTTTGTATGAAACTACACGAGTCTTTTATTTATTTATTTATTTTTATTTTTTTTTTTCTGAGGTTGAGCAGACAGGCACAAGAAAACAAGACCGAACCGACCAATTTGTGGGCCGAGCGCAGTCGACCCGTGTTTGCAAGTTTCCAGCTGAGTGTCTGTTCATCTCCAAACGATCTGGAGCGAACTAATTTTTCAACCAGACGAGCTTCAGGCTAAAAGCACGTCGACAGACGGTGAAAAAGATCGTAATCTGAGGCAAAGACTGAGGCCAGAAGATACTTAGGCTGAAATGATCTTATATTTTAGATGGGGGTTTTTTATACAAATTGTAGCACATTTAAGTGGGCTTATGATTTAATTTTTGCCGATTTACTTGTAATTTGTGGACAGCATATCTTTATGCCGTATTTTTGTTTTCCAGATCTTCACTATTGCAAAAAGACACATTATTTAACATTTAGCTTTTTTACTGTATCTAAAGTTGTACACCAATATGTGTTAAGAGACATTTTGAAGAAATTATGGAGTAGCAACTTTGTGAAATTATTATTCATTTTCAATTTTTCCTGCATCACATGGTCACAGTTGGTGTTAAAGTTGACCAGGCAGTTCTGGTAAATGGGCTCAGAGAAATCTTCATCCGGTTATGTTTATGCAGCATTAGTGGAGACCCGTACAGATAGCTGCATGCACTCCATGGAAATCACATTTTTGCTATTGATTTTTCTTTGGTTTTGAATCGGAGAAGGCCCAGAGTTTGTGATTTGCAATATGTTTAACACAGTGCGTCGGATCAACTACCAGCATGTCCTCGGTAATACAACAGTTACCTGTTAGGACAACAGGTAACTGGTCAGAGCTGCACAGATTACAAAATCAGGAAAGAGCAGAGAAACCTTGGTTGTGTTACTAAACAGATTTTTGGACCTAATTTTTGGTGTAAAGGAATACAAAAGTTTTAAAATGTTCAACTTCAAAGCTTTTTATGCTCTTCCCACATTTTAAAGTTATTTCAGCTAGAGCAAATGTGGCGAGAATCTCAGTTCAGAGTTAACTGAGAATTTATTGAAATTGTTTGGGTATTAACAGCATTACATGGTGTGCGATGTAATTAACACCTTCTAAAACAGGTGAGTTGGAGCAGGGACACATCTGAAGCAGTTACAACAATATCGCCTCTGATTGTAAGAAAGAACTGAGGGTCCTAATGAGTCATTAAAAATATTATAAACATGTTGACATTTTTTAACTATACTCAAATATGTCTTACTTAATAAAAACAAAATAGCATTTAAAATTCTTTCCAGTTGGCTAAGAGCTAGCTACTAGCTCTGAAATTAGCTTGTAAATGATATTTAGCCAGTAGTTTCATTAGGACGAAAGGGAACTGTTTAAAATAGTTTTTTGTCATTTGCTCTTTCACGTTTAAATGCCCTCCATTAGTCATTACCAGAGGCAATACTTTTTTGCTTACCTTTTTTTAAAATTGTGTTTATTTTTGTTTTGGGCGTGTTAGCCACCTACCTGGCTAGTTAGCATTCCGGCTAGCCCATGCATGCTAGCTGGCATGAAACTTTAGCCTGCAGCGTTTGTAAACAGTTAGGCATAGATTTTACTGGGGAGTGTATGTAGCTTGTTTTATTCATCATTCAATTGATTCCAGTTACTACCAGTAAATAAACTAATTTAATTAATCTCTCCTGTGTTTCTTAGAAGAGAAACACAGAAGTTTAAATACACACAGAATGGGCCTGTATGAGATTCTCATAGCATCACAGCAAAGTAGAACTTTTCAACAAAAAAAATATATATGTTTTTTAGCTAAAAAAAAAAAAAAAAAAAAAAAATCTAATACTTGGTCTAATGGCTGGTAAAAATCAGATAGTCAGAAGTTCACATTTATATTGTTTTTGTTTGTCACATTGTTTTTGATGCATTGATTTAAGGACAAATATCCTGAATTAAGCTGCCACTTTCAAGGACAAAATATGGAAAATCAGGCATGGTGATAATACCTCAGCTTATGTTTCTGTTTCCTCAGGTGGAAGAGACCGACGTGGCGGTCCAGTATTAACATTTCCATCACGAAGTAACCACGACAGAATAAGAGCGGATGACCTGAAGAGGCTGATCGCCTACCTCGCCTGCATCCCCAGGTTAGATAATCATTACATCCCTATCTGTTTTCTTACTTATTTTCCCTTCTATTTTATATTAAAAATAAACTTAAACGATACAAACAACCAGAGAAAGTGGATGTAATGTGTGGTGTAGAGACAAACACGTGAAGGGGTTGAGATGAACATGTGAGCAGCGAAGCAGGAGCAGTTAGATAACTGCAGCTTCTCCGCTCCCAAAAGTAATTTTTATGGAAGCGGGGATGCTGAGACAGTGGAGGGAAAAACCTGAGCTGAGAGCGGGGACACGAACCAGATATCTGATGACAACAAGAAGGAAAGCGGTATCACGAGAGAGAGGAGGGCGGGGAGAGAGCGAAGCGGAGAAGGAATTAAAACGGACAGAGGCGGAGTGCGCATGCGTGAGGAGGGGTGTGCAAGCGAGGGAGAGAGAGAGAGAGTGTGTAAGAAAGCAAAACAAAGTGTCGCAGTAGCTGAGGCGGTGCAGCAGGGAACGTTAGTTGCTGTGGACGAGGAGCTCCTCACCTCCCAGGTAAAACATCAGTCGTCTTTACCTCCGTACTCTTCTTTTTCCTTTAAATTTAATCGTCCTTTCCGTGCTCTCCTCCTGCTCTGACTGCTCAGCCAGCTGTCAGCCCTGTATGTTACTGCTTCACATTTCTTGCACATTCTGTACTTCCCTGTAACCGTACTCTCTTTTCCATCTAATCATTGAGAAATATCTTTATTAATAGTGCGAGTTCTTTGATGACTGAATAGTTCCAATTTCGTAAAGGTAGCCTCTCCACATAGCTGTTGTCTGACACTCTGCTCCACTGACAGATGATGATAAGAGATAGAAAGATGCAATGACTTTTTGCAGTGAAATGCATTAATAAGACCATTCATGCGTTTTGAAAATTATGCTGAATGTTTTAGCGACAAAAAGCAGTCCTGTTGTAAATTACGTTGAGAAAGATTGATGAATGTCTCTGCGTTTGTTTTCAAAATCCCTTCACTTCCCAGTTTTTTTTTTTAGGCATTTGGAGCTGTTTCTCATTTCCGAGTTGCTTGCAAGGTGCAAACATTGCAGGGCAAAGAGGTTGCTCAAATGTCCTGATGTGTGTTTATGTCTCAAAGCACACGTTTTGACTCATTTATCACAGGTTCATGTGCTTTATATGGTGTGGGCGTTATGTGTGGGATGTGCATTTGCCGCGTAGGCTTCTCACGGTAGAGAAAATGCGTCATTTCACTGTTTGTTCTAATTGTCCTTCGCTGTCTCCCCCCCATTTTTCTTTTCTAATTCCATCACCTTTCTCCCTTCCATCCTCCCTCTCTCATCCTTTCCCACGCCTGTCATGTCTCCTCTCGCTCCCTCTGGATTATGCTCTTCAATCTCTCCACCCCCCTCATCCCCGTTACTACCCTTTAATTCCTCCGGCTAACCTCCGCCGCTGTCCTCCTCTCCCAGTGAGGAGGTGTGTAAACATGGCTTCACAGTCATTGTTGATATGCGCGGCTCCAAGTGGGACAGCATCAAGCCTCTGCTGAAGATCCTGCAGGAGTCGTTTCCGTCCTGCATCCACGTCGCCCTCATCATCAAACCGGACAACTTCTGGCAGAAGCAGAGGACCAACTTCGGCAGCTCCAAGTTCGAGTTCGAGGTGAGAGGAAAATCTTTGAAGAGGCTTTTTATCAAAACAAAAGACAGGATAGAAACATATGCATGATTAATTACTAGGATGCTGCATGGTTCTACACTGATAGACGTGCTGCAACTCTATAGATTTATTGCACATTCTGAATCCCGTTTTCTGTCAGCTGAGCTATGGTACCAACCACTATATCTGTTGCCCCTCGCTCAGCTGCTCATTGTCAGAACATTTTGTTATTTTTGGCTCCTCGCTGCTTTGGATGCAGATATCATCAGCCAGGGGAAAAAAATGTCATCACATCCAACAGACTACACAAACAAGCGTGCGTGATGCTGTCAGTCATGTGTTACACTGATTTTCACTGCTCATTTAGAGACATAGTACGAGATGGAAAATATTTGTTTGGTCGGTTTCCAGACTTTATATTCTGAAAGATTTGGGGATGCTAATACCATTTTTTTTACACAACTCAGATTTCTCCTTAAGAATAAGAATATGAGAAGAAATGAGAACATAACCGAAACCATTTTCTTCTAGCTTTACTGCTGTGAGTGCTTATTAAGTTAAATCCTTTGATTTTATATTGGTTGCTAATCACAGCTAGCAAAACAAAAAAACAGAAATTGCTGTGATTGTTATCTGGTAGCATGTAGACCTTTTCCTGAAATCTCCAAAAATTTGCAAACATGTTCAAGTCCAGCAGAAGTTCAGAAAGACAAAACGGGGCAGCTTCTGCCGAAAGTCTGGCTGTCTCTCACTTTCTCGCAGCCTGGACGACTGTAATACACATGTCCAAGAAAACTTTTGGAAAATACAACGTTCTCTGAAATACCATCTTTCATATCTGAGTTAACAATGACTTCACCTAGACCTCACTGACACAAACACTAGGTAACTTTGGTGGGGTTTTTGCACGGCACCCATATTGAACAGGACTGTTTTTAGAAAGACCTTTTATGCACTGTAAGAACTACCCGGGGGATCAACTGCAATTTTTCAGACTTTGAATGAGTTGGCAGCACAAAACCAGGCCAATGTGCTTCTAGGCTGAAAATCAGGTAATTTCTTGTATGCTGTAGAAGTTATTCTTGATGGGACTAAACAAAAGCATCCCAGTTAATCTCCCACTCTGGCTTACTGCAATGTACAGCTGTGAAACGTAGGCTGCTAAAAGCTCAATGATTGGTTCAACTGGTGCAAATTCTTGTTGAATTCTTGTCCAGTGCATTTCTTTGTGGAAATGTTTGACCAAAGCAATGTGGGTGAACTGAGCGATGTAGAAACGACTTCGATCGCTCGCATGCTCATTTGCAAGCAGGTTCAATGTAGTCTGATGACATTATATTGATTTATTTTGAAAGGAAGAGCAGCCTGCAGCATGGCTACACTGTCAAAGCCACATGATCATTGATTGTACACGCTGCTACACGCACAAAAGAATAATTAGGTCTTTCTTCACCTTAATATGAGCGGTTTGATAAAATGTCCATATTTATTAAGCTGCAACAGGTTTTATTAGTAGTTTTATTTTAATTCAGTAAAAATGACACTTTAGGTGAAATAGGCCTAACCTATTTACTAGCACCTTAATGGGGACTTGATTCATCAAATGACAATAAGACCAACTGCGCATCATTTTGACATGATAACGACGTCAGTCAAATCAGCGAGAATAATTTAACTGCTTGGTTAAAAATAAAACCCTTCTATTAGGCAGTGAGATTTTCCTATCATGATAACGTTAAGTGTTCCAGAAATTTACAGTATTTGTGTTAAAAAAAAAAAAGAAAAAGTTCAACAGGACCTTTTCAGGTGTGCACCGATAGATTTTGAACAATCAGCCAGAGTTTCCTTTTGCTCAGCAACTTTTCAAACCAAAAAAATTGGTATCAACTAAAACCGAAATTGTTTTTAAGATTTGCAATCGGCCAGAAAACTGCAGTCGTTCTACCTCTGTAGTTTAAACATTCCTACATGTTGATTATTACAGTTTCAATATTATTACTAATATTTATGTGTTTATTTTTGATGTATACATTCAAGGCAAATATGTAGAACACATTTCCATTAAATTTGGACTTTTCCAACTTAACGTTTCTGATTATTAGTCAGCCAGAAAGCTGAGCTGGTGGAAGCAGCAGCAGTAGTAGCATCTTAGCAGATGCTAGCTAACCAGACACGTTGCTCGTAGTTTTGGCAGCTGCATTAGGACTGAGGACTCCGCTTTATTTTCCAAACCATTGCTATCCTTTGTTTTTTTTAGCAAGTGGAAATATTTTCTAAAAAATTCATCTATCTTTTTTTGTAAGAGAGGATAAAGTTTTAGGAGCCTTCTTTCAGCTGGCTTAGCGTTGTGTTCCTTGTAGCAGTGTAGTAATGAGGTAACCTGACCACCTGCAGTGAATGTGGTGGTGTCAGTAAGTTTTCTTTCTGTGTAGTTCAAGCTCCTTTGCTTCTTTACTTGAGGACAACAGTGCATCTGAGCATTGTTTGGCCTACACAAGCTATCTCTTGGTCTCCATGGTTCTCTGGCCATGTGTGCGGGGGTGTTGTGTGGAGGTGGCTCAGCAGAAACACAGAGGCAACGAAGCCAAAGAAGGAAACATGTACCTCTGAAATTAATTCTTTAATGTCTCCTTGCTGGGAGGATTTAGTTTTTTTTAAGGTTTAGAAACATGTTTCATTCAGAGGAACTCATTTAATAACTGAGAGGGTTCATGTTTTGGCTGCATATCAAAGATTCGTATTTGATTAAGAATCTTCCATAAATATTAATGTGATGCTTTCATTTCTGGAAACAAAATACATTTGTTGTATTTGAGCTGAAAACAATAAGTTTTGACTTATCAAAAGGCTAACCTCAACCTGCATCTCCACACCAGACAGTCATGGTGTCGCTCGAGGGTTTGACGAAGGTTGTGGACCCCTCCCAACTCACAGCTGACTTTGACGGCAGCCTGGACTACAACCACGAAGAATGGATAGAGGTAGGTCAGACCACAACCCTAAAAAACCCAAAGGAACGCAATGTGCGCTCAGTCAGATGGCGAATTTGGGAGATTCACTGGGTTTTATCGTTTGGTTTGACCAGGTGCGAGTCGCGTTCGAGGAGTTCTCTGGTCACGCCACTCAGATGTTGACTCGACTGGAAGAGATGCAGGAAACTGTGTCAAGAAAAGACTTCCCCCAAGATCTGGAAGGGGCGAGGCGGATGATAGAGGAGCATGCCGCGCTGAAGAAGAAAATCATAAAAGCTCCAATAGAGGAGCTTGACACAGAGGGCCAGAGGTAAATAGAATAAACCTAAATGTACAAATCTAACGTGCAACTGCATTTGCAAAATCACTTGAACACTAGAACTCTCTCAGATCAGAGCCATGAGTTGTCTTATGTTTTTTTTTTTCCTTTCTAAAATACTGCACTTGAAAGAATTATCTGCAAAACAGTCTGTGAAATTTCACAAGTTGAAAATAGATGCTTGAAGACGAGGATGCTGTTTTTGCAGTGCGTTCCTGCGAGTGTCCAAAGAGCGTGCAGAATGCTTTATAATATTATCCTTGGACAGACGCTGGTAAAAGAATGATTTTGTTTGTTCTTTGGTTTAAAAAAAAGGATGATTTAAATTGAAAGATTTTCTGAAATCATTCATAAAGTATTTTTAAGGATGTGTTTACATCAGCCCTGTTTAACCTTTTTTAGTTGAACTTTAGTTTACTTGCCGAGAAAGTTTGATTTGTTAGGGGAAGAGTGAATGCATAATCAAACTCTGATACACACCAAAAGTTGAACTCTGGTCTGCCTAAAAACCTAGGTCTATATTGGATTGAAGTGAACTCTAGTGCGGTTCAAATGCGTATGTGAACGCCAATGGAACCGGAGACCACTCCAAAAGCAAGAAGTGCATGGCATTCTTGGTAAATGCATGCAAAAGAAATGCGTTAGTCTAGCACAAAGACAGAAAATAAATCCGTCACCTGCTAAAATTTGACACCTCCCCATTTTTATCTACATTTTGTGAAGGAGGAAGTTGCGCTCAGTGTTTTATCTCAAGGTTTTTGTGTCGTTTCTTTTAGTGGTCCTTGGTGCAGGGAGGGTGAACAGGTTTGTTTGACACAGTGCAGTGTGAAAGCCAACTGCAGCAGCTGAAAATGTAACAAATGTTGCAACTTTGGTCCCCAATCAAAATGAGTCTACTGAACTATGAGGTATTAAACACCTGAAAAAGATTTATTTTTTAAATAATAATAATAATTATTATTATTAGAAATACTTTTAGCTAATCTGTTAAAGTTCTTTATCTAGGAAATGCGGATGAGCAGCCAAAAATATACTGTCCTAATATGAAGCTAACAACACGACGCTCATGTCTACACTGAGAATATTAAACTTCACGTACCGCTTTAACTGTGATTCAAATGCAAACGACTTCTGAATAAATCACAAAATTATACTTGAAGAGCAAAAGGTAAGAGACAACTTTTTTTTATTTTTGTTCAATCCGTGACCAGGTTGCTTCAGCGGATTCAGAGCAGCGAGGCTTTCTCCAACCGTAATGGCAGCACCGGCGGCAGCAGCAGTAGCAGCAGCGGTGGCAGCGGCAGCGTCTGTAATGCCGACACCCAGGGCCTGGTCCCGCGCATCACCCAGCTGCTGGACAAGCTGCACTCCACCCGACAACACCTCCACCAGGCCTGGCACGTCCGGAAGCTGCAGCTGGACCAGTGCTTTCAGCTCCGTCTGTTTGAGCAGGACGCGGAGAAGGTCGGGGATGTGCAGAAGTGACCTATAACAAGAGCTGGTGATCAGTGTGGGGCAGGCAGCTGTCAATAATCAGCTAAAACTTAATTACGGCATCGATTAACGCCGTTTCTAATGCTCACACGAACTCGTGTCTGTCTTTTTACGTTCCTGTAACGGGGGGGGGAACCAAACGGCTTCATCCGATTACAAGGCATTACGACAGATAATAGCTAAGGCAGGCTAATGCAGGTAAAGACCCGCCTCTCCTGGCTCCAACCCAGACGGCTCTGGCGATGACAGCCGCGGCAAAAAATAGAGACGGGGAGAGAAATTCAAAGCTCCATGTTTGAGTGATTGGAATAAAATAGCAGGCTGCAGCAGCAAGGAGGACTGCAGTATCGGATACACTGCAGCAGCAGGAGCTTGTTGCTAGGACACCACAGGCCACAAGTTGTTTTTTTCAGGAGAGCACGAGAGAATGCCGCTAATAGAAAGCATTCGATTTCTGTGTATTCTGACAGCGCTGTGCTCAGTCTCACTCGGGTTCACCAGCATGCAATGTGTCTCGCTTTATTTTCCGACTTCCTGCTGCAATATGCTGTAGATGTGGGCGATAAATCAATTTGATTGATTTTACCCATTGACCAAAGATTTAGTTTTTGATGATTATATTTTTGGGAAATCTGGATTTTTTTTTTTAATCCATGCACTCCTTGGGTTTTATGTCAGCACACCCAGAGTCGGCATCATAATGTTTTGACAAATGTTTCTATTTATCTGGACTTTGACTTTGGGTCAACTCTACCAAATATTAGTGCCGGGCTATGATTGTTTTTCTTTTTTAAGTTGAGTAATTAACTCACGAATACGGTCATAATCATGCAAGAATAAATTAGTTTGATGATAAAGTCAAAATGATACAATAATGCAGAATTAATATGCAGTTATAGAAATGTAATTTATTAATTTTTTTTATCAAAAGATTTGATCTTTATACCCGTATCGCCCAGCCCGATTGAGGACCCTGTCCATCTGCTGCTCCCTTGAAGATAGTTAACTTTTTTTCTTTTTCTCCTGTGTCTGTTTCTGTGTGTGTCTGTTTTGACATCTTCCTGCCTCAGATGTTTGACTGGATCATGCACAACAAAGGTTTGTTCCTGGCAGGCTACACAGAGATTGGCAACAACCACCCCCATGCTGTGGAGCTGCAAACCCAGCACAATCACTTCGCAATGAACTGCATGGTAAGACACACACACACACACACACACGCACGCACGTACAGAAACACGGATGTTCAACAGGAGCTAATGCTTTTCCGCCCACTAGGACTCAAGTCCATGCCCCCCTACCAACTGCATAATCATATTGTTATTGTACTAAGTATCAACCTCTAGTTCTGGGTTCGGGTGTTTGTTTAGAGCAGCCTGCACATTTTCCACATAATCACAGCAACACAACTAGGTATTAAGTAATCCTATTCTCTATTCACAATCGACCTTACATAACTATTATGAAACAGTTGAGAAGAGAGGAAATCGTCCGTCGGCTGAGGAATTTGGAGATTCTTCAGATCTCTCTCTTTTTTATTTTAGATTTGTCTTTGGATTGTGCATTTCTCTTTTTCCACACATTCCAACGAAATTCCCAAAGAAAACGACGCAGTAGCTGCTTTTCCATTACAAATGTGCGCAACATTCTGTCGGTATTCCATTAACGTGGGAAATACACACAAAAAGCCTTTTTTTTTTTTTTTTACATACTGCAACATGTACAAACAAGTACGGTAATACAATATTGTGCAAATCTGTAGACATAGTTAGAAATGGGAGCATCAAAGACAAAACTGATTAAAATTAAAACCATTTTTCAGTTATACTGTTGTCACATTTCTAAAAATGTATCTAAAAATTTTCAGTAATTTTCAGTTTGATCTCAGTTTTTAAGTCATTTCAAAATATTTTGTTTTTGTTGCATACATAGGTTATTGTTCCTGTTTCATTTTTAAAAAACTGACCAATGTTTTTGATCAATAACAAAATAATCTCTGGGCAGCTCTTTGGAGAGATAAATTGTATTTAAACTTTGAAGTGCAGTTCTAATTCCACGCCTTCTTCTTCCTGCCACTTCCTGTCATGTTTGTGGTTTCTTCCAGTAGTAATTTTTTTTTACATCATGCGATGCGGAAAAAAAAATCCATTGGGGTTTTACAAAATACACAAATTTCAATGTGGCAGAAAAAGCACCTCATCCTAGCGCAAAAACCTTTTAGCGATAAACAAATTTTACAGATTTTATTTTTTTCAAAATGTCCACATTTCCACTCCATTAAGCACATTTGTTTTTGTTCTTCCAACGTGCATAAATCCATTGTCAACAGAAACGCAGCTTTTGACAGTAACTAAAAGTTTCTTTCAGTTTGAAAGTTTTTTCTTGTATTTTAAACATTTTGCCTTCGCTCTCTTCCTCCGCTCTCCACAGAACGTGTACGTTAACATCAACCGCATCGTGTCGGTGGGCAGCCGGCTGCTGGAGTCCGGTCACTACGCCTCCCAGCAGATCAAGCAGATCTCGGGTCAGCTGGAGCAGGAGTGGAAAGCATTCGCCGCAGCGCTCGATGAACGCAGCACGCTATTAGAAATGTCAGCCAGCTTCCATAAGAAGTGCGACCAGGTGAGTCTGTCTGACCTATTCTTGCTTCAGCTTTTGTCTGCTTGTGTTTATTTGGTTTTGTTTTCAGTTTCATTTATTTTTTTCATTAAATGAATATAAACTTCCAGTAACAAACCCTTTTTTCAGTTGTTTTCTATAAGCGAACTGGCTGCTGCTGCTCAGCGTACAGAACACGACCTCAGTATTGATCTGTTCATGTAACCGAAGCCAATGAGCATGCTGTTTATTCTCCGGTTACAGACTGTGACAAACAGGGTCTGACCGGTGCTGTAAAAGCTCTGCATTAGGAACCATCTGCCTAACTCGCACTCATAAATCTGCAGCTACTTTCAGAAACTCTCCTTTCAAAAGGACTTTAGATGTGAAAGCCGTTGGAAATGTTTTCATTTCTTATTCATTTTTCCATCTTGGTAAAAATATCCAACTCGCGCTGATGTGCTGTTTTGTGGCACCCAGCTGATGTTTTTACTTACTTACTGCGTGCATTTGAACTGACCCCCAACTCTGGCACTATTAAATTAATGTTTAATAGGTTTTCTTAAAAAAAAAAAAAAAAAAATATATATATATATATATATATATATAAATATATATATATATAAATATATATATATATATATATATATATATATATATATATATATATATATATGTATATATATATATATATATATATATATATATATATATATATATATATATATATATATATATATATATAAGTATTATTCGTCTTTGCTGCTTAGTTGGTCTAGACTGGAGTGAAATCTTCTCTAAAATGCATGAACAAATTTCTAGAGGTATTACAACTCACAATTATTCTAGTAATCAATTATTCTGATGATTAATTTGATCAAAAAAAGTCACATTCTGTATATTTATTATCTAACCACTTAAACCATGTTTTATACTATATCAGAAATACATCATAAGATGCTAATAAACAAATAAATAAATACATTTTTTCAATAAGAAAATTAACATTTTATTGGATAAAATGCAATAACAGCATTCCTTTGTTGTACCTTTGACCATTTGTAGTTCAGGATGCAGCGAAATAAATACTTCTAACATGAGAAAATCTCGGCCCTCTCTGTTGGACTTAATACAGTGTAAAGCTGAGATTATATCTTCGATTAATCAATTAATAGTTTGATCGCAAAAGATGCTTAATAGGAATTTTTTTTTTCAACAAAATTTAATTTTGAATGGAAAAAACTACGTCTCTTGAGGAGTTTTGGGTAGAACATATGTCCAGACAATTTTTTTTCTTAAATACAAAATGCATATTTTTTGTACAGTTTTGTCTTAATTACTGCACTGAGGGAGATTTTCTTTTTCATGAGTCTGTATGCTCCAGTTAGTGATTAATTGACTACTAAATTAGTTGAGGATTATTTCAATAATTGATTCGTCAAGAATATTCAGATGAATCGTTTCACTCCCACTTTCAAACCGCAGCTCTCTTATTCTGTATGTTTTGGTGCTAAAGAAGTACTACAGTGTTCTGTCTCTGAATTATTTTTATCTACAAGAAAATCACATCAATTAAAAACTCAGATGCAGGCCAGTTCAACTTCTATATGTGTGGAGATGTATTCAAATTCCCCAAAGTTTAGCTTGCTTTCATTAAAAACTTCTGTCTATGATGTCAGTCTGTATAAAAGTGTATAAAATGCAGAAAGCCACCTTAGACCAATAACTCTCTTAAAACTTTAAACTTCTACGTGTTTCAGCTTAGTAAAGGTAGGAACAAGCCACATCTTCTGTACTTCCAGTCTTCCTAAAGTGCAGCTCCTGTTAGCATGTCTGCCTGACTCGGTGTGTGTGTGTGTGTGTGTGTGTGTGTGTGTGTGTGTGTGTGTGTGTGTGTGTGTGTGTGTGTGTGTGTGTGTGTGTGTGTGTGTGTGTGTGCGTGCGTGCGTGCGTGCGTGCGTGCGTGCGTGTGTGTGCGCGTGTTCTCGCTTCAGTACATGAGTAATGTGGACTCGTGGTGCAAGGCATGCGGCGAGGTGGACTTGCCCTCCGAGCTGCAGGACCTGGAAGATGCAATTCACCACCACCAAGGCCTGTATGAGCACATCACAGCTGCCTACTCTGAGGTAAAACACTCTGCAGAAATGTGCCTGAAGGTACACTCTTCAGTCAACTGGTGCTACATAGTATCCCCTTTGAAGTTTGCCTCAGTCGTACTCGGAAACCAGTTCTGGTATTTAGTTCTGCATAAATGTGACGCTCCGCTTGGAAAAAGTGCCGGTGGCTATTTCTGCCAGGTTTCAGTTTTAAAAATGTTCTCTTAAGTTGGAGCTTGGCTCATGCAAGGTAAAAAAAATCATAATGATTAGTCAATGGATGCCGATCTTGTTTGTTTACCTCAGAACATTGTAGCAGCCCGTTTACCAAAGACTGTGAGTACGGTACTGTGTTTGACTTTTAATTGATACTGATTTTAAGAAACACAGCTGTTAAATGTGGAAATGTTCTCCATTACAAAGCGAACGAAACCAATAACTAAACATAGTACTCCATTCCAGACAACCAGAACCTTTTTTTCAGTTTCTTTCTTTTTTTTTTTTTGGTTAATTCTGTTTTTAGGATGAAACACAAGAACCTGAACTGAACTCTGTTCTAAAACGTCATTTGGTTTGGTGATTCTTGGGAGAATTTTCTTTTTCTTTTTTTGCAACGTTCCTCCAGACATTTGTTGCGATTTGGCGCTATATAAATAAACGTTCAGTTCAATTGAACATTTATAAAGTGTTCAGTTGAGCCCAATCTGGCTCTTGTCATAAATGTAGAGCTCAGTTTCTTATACCAAGTGGAAGAAAAATAGTTTTTTTTATCCTCCAAATCATAGATGGCTAGAAACAAATCACTGATTAAAATGTTAATTTGTACTCAGCAAAATCCGGTGCGACAAATCGTCTTCAGAAGTGAACAAGTCACTAACAAGAAAAGATTTTATTTTCATCTGTCCTCACATCAAAGTATAGTATTGGCAGCATTATGCTGTGGGGATACTTTTGCTTATCAGTCAGTTGATCATTATAATGAGGCCAATTTAGTTGAGCTGGGGAAAGGTAAAGGGATATGAATTGTTTTAACTCCTGTTTACATATTGATGCCCTAAATAAAACATGTGAAGTATTTACTTCTTGCAGAACTATTTTATACAGTGAACCATAAATAAATAATTGTTAAAATATGTAATAAATATGCACATCAAAATGACTTTGTTCTGGTTGTGGATTTTTAGCGGTCTTCTCCTTATGAGTGAAAATGTGTGAACATTTATTCAGGTGAGCCAGGACGGGAAAGCCCTGCTAGACAAGCTGCAGCGACCTTTGACCCCGGGCAGCGCTGACTCGCTAACGGCTTCAGCCAACTACTCCAAGGCCGTGCACCACGTGCTGGACATCATCCACGAGGTGCTGCACCACCAGAGGCAGCTGGAAAACATCTGGCAGCACCGCAAAGTGCGCCTGCACCAGCGCCTGCAGCTGTGCGTCTTTCAGCAGGACGTCCAACAGGTATGACGCACCGACGCACGCAGGATGATGGATTCGGAGCATCGTCATCCTTCTTTTTTATATAATACATGTCACAAAAGGATTATACGGCGATTTAGTGAGTGGAAGACTTTAAATTAGGAATCAGTCGGGAGCATGCCTTGGTCACAGAGTCTAAATATGATAATACAGTTCCTGCTTGACCCGAAAAAAATAAAAAGAAGAAAAAACAAACCAACCCAGTGGCTGCTTCCGAGTGTGTTGACATGACAACTGTTGCTGCGGTAACCGAACTGGGTCATATGTCCGTGCAGATGGTGTTCCTCCATTCACATCGTGACTGAATGCAGCGTTTGGGAGCAAACTCAGTTTTTTTTTTTTTTACAGAACACGACTTTACTTTGCATCTTAACAGTTCCAACACTCAGCAGCTCCGCTTTCACAGCGCGCCCCCTGGTGGTTGCCCCTTGTTCAGTCGCTCCCGGCTCCTGGGTGAATCTGGTGTGGTTTTTTTTCCTCCCAGGTTTTGGACTGGATAGAAAACCACGGCGAGGCCTTCCTCAGCAAACACACGGGTGTGGGAAAGTCCCTCCACCGAGCCCGAGCGCTGCAGAAACGCCACGAGGACTTCGAGGAAGTGGCTCAGGTCTGTGTCTGGATTATAACTAACACAGAGACGCAACCCTAACTGTTCACCCTAAACATCTAAACATCTGCACGGCAGGAATATTACTCAACTATTATTACAACTATACCTTTATGTATAGTTACAATACATAAAGGTTTTTTTCAGTATCTTTCTCCAGTTTTATGCTCGCAGAGTAGACCTCCATATTGGTTATAAATGCTAAAATCTACAAAATCTAATAATTGAGCTAAATTGAACTGTTGACATAAGCACAACATGTTACATTTTCTGAAAAACATGTTTCTCCTCCTTTTTCCCATTGCTTGGAAAACAATCTGTATTATTTGAACATTAAGAGATCAGGCTACATTTAGAGTTTAGAGTTTTGAACCACATGATAAAAACTTTCTTCCTTGAGAAATATTTTAACTGGTGATTTGCTTTATGTCAAAAAGAAAAGAAAACAAGCAAACTGTATTCAACCTAGAGAGAAAAAGCTACATAGCATGACATCTGACAGTTAAAATGCCTCAAAACACTTGAAGCAATTAACTTATAACTATCAACCGAGTGATTAGTTTTATTAAAACAAAAATCTAAAGAGTTTAATTACCTCCTTGAGATGTAAAATCTCATTGAATTGAATTTTAAAAATCATCTGTAAAATCAGCCTCTTGATACTCTGCCTCCTGTTTCTGTTGTCTCAACATCTCTCTCTTCCTCTTCCCTTCTTCATGCATGTCCTGTTTTTCAGTTTGCTCCTCAGTGCCTCCGTCTCTTTCATAACAGACGTTTTGCTCGTTTCACGCTGCCCCCTTGTTAGAACTCATCTCTCTCTCTCTCTCTCTCTGTCTAGAACACTTACACCAATGCGGATAAGCTCCTGGAGGCGGCCGAGCAGCTGGCCCAGACGGGAGAGTGCGACCCGGAGGAGATCTACCAGGCCGCCCACCAGCTCGAAGACAGAATCCAAGACTTCGTCCGCCGCGTGGAGCAGCGTAAAGTCTTGCTGGACATGTCTGTCGCCTTCCACACACACGTCAAAGAGGTGGGCAGGGGATGGTGACACGGCGCTGAAGTGGATGGTGGGCTGCATGCTTGTACCGATGAGATGAGAGGCGTGGAGTACATTACATGCTCAGTCCAATTAGTCAGAGAAATAAAAATAAATATTTTAGTGTAGGTATGTGTGTAGGGTCGGTTTTGTGTATAGGTATCCAGCTTTATGTTTATAAATACTATAATTTACTGTGTGTTTACATGGATATTAAAAACCAAACACAGGATTGTTTGTAATGAGAAAAAAGCTGCTGCTTAAGCTGATGTCTGTCTCCGTCTCCAGCTGTGGACGTGGCTGGAGGAACTGCAGAAGGAGCTGCTGGACGACGTCTACGCCGAGTCCGTGGAGGCCGTCCAGGATCTGATTAAGCGCTTCGGCCAGAAGCAGCAGACCACGCTGCAGGTCACCGTCAACGTCATCAAGGAGGGAGAGGACCTCATCCAGCAGCTCAGGTGCAGACAGACGGGCCTAATGTTGGAGATTTTTTCTCATATTTTTCCCCCCAATTTCTCTTTACCTGCCTGTACTGTGAGGCAAGCTTGTGTCAAAAATACCAAGTGATGACTCTCTTTCATTTTATCTCTTCATGACACATTTTGATGTCTTTTTTTCTATACTTGTCAAGACAGAAATGAGAACTGTAAGTGTGCGCTAAAAGTGTTAAGAGGACAGTTATTTTATATTTTTATTGAGAGTTTTATGCAACAGACCAATGCACAGTAGAAAGAAAAATGGCTTTCAAAATATTTGACTAAAAATATTTACCAGGTTTTCACGTTCAGTCCATAAACAATACTTGGTAGAATCACTTTTTGCCCTGTTTACACTTCCAAGTCTTTTCATGTTTCTCACAGCTTTTCACATCGAGACTTAATATTTCTTCTCCATGAAATAATTCAAGCTGAGTCACATTAGATGAAGAGCTTCTGTAAGCATCACATTTTAATTCTTACCACAGATTCTTCTCAGCTTGAGTTTGGTCAAGACTGTGCCTTGGCCACTTAAACATTTCAATGTGCTTTGGACTTAACCATTGGATTCTATCTCTATATTTATGTTTAGTAGAATAGCACAATGTGCAAACTTGTGGTTGCATAGATCTTCTTTAGCGCAATATCTGGTAGGCTGTTATAATTTACTCTGCATGTTTTTATGTTCAACTTGTTCATTGGATTTTTCCTGCACTTGGTAACATATTTACAGATACTGAAGCTCCCTGAAGGTCATTTTTAACAATGTGATAATGGAAAAAGATGGGCAAGTGAGGAAAACATATTAGAAGCAATATTATAAATGAAATATTCAACAGTTATGTGGTTTTAATAACTTGCTAAGTCTGGTCAAGATTATTTGTGTAGCAAATTTCAGCGACTATTTAGTTCAAAGTGCTTTTCGTCATCTGCATCTAGACATTAGTCCTTTAATCTTGGAAATATTCTTCTGTTCAGGTGATAAAAGGCTGACTTTATGACTGTCTTTTTGTGTCTCTGAACGTTCTGGTCCGAGTCTAAAACTCTCCTCGGCTGCAGAGTTCAGACACTTTTCACCCAAGTAAATCAGAGTGTAACAGTCTGCTTTGATTCTTGTCTTCTTCATTGTAGCTCTAATTCAGGCAGGAGTGGATTTGTAATTAGAAATAAACGTGTCAGCACTCAACAAAGCTAAATATACGCTAAGAGAAATCTCCCTAGAAGACGTTAATGAAGTGCTTTCAGCCCAAAAACGGCAAGCAGCGATGATGAGAGGCGGTGTGAGAGAGGTGGATGCGGCTGTCCAGCTTTATTTTTATGCAGAGGATGTTCCAGTGCCTCTCCTCACTCCCTCCTTTCTCTTTGTGCTCGCCACCCTCTCCCTGGTGACTTGGCTCCGCAGCGAGTTCTTACATAAGACCACTTTTATAAACGTGTGTCTAATTGTGCGCCGCTCTCTCTCTCTTTTTCTCTCTCTCCAAGAGGCAACTGTAGCTTCACACGCCTTCTGCGTGTAGGACTGAGCTGTTGGAGTGCACAACATGTTCTCCACCAACACCACCTCATCATAATTAGCCTTTTTGTGAAACCACTTGTGGATTTATATTTCAAGTAAACGACCGATTAGCAAATTAGCGATAGCTTTAGACTTTTTTTGTTTTGTTTTGTTTTGGACGGTTCTTTTCCATGCTAGCGCTGCCGCAGCATTTTATACCAGCGCAGCACTTTCCAGAGCAGCTCGCCCTGACTGGCATGATGCCCTGCAGGATCTTTTATAGCTCCTCAGAGCTGCACTCTGCAGATTATGGCTTAATTGCAAGTGTTTTTTCTTCCAGGGACTCTGCCATCTCCAGCAACAAGACGCCCCACAATAGCTCCATCAACCACATCGAGAGCGTCCTCCAGCAGCTGGACGAGGCCCAGGCTCAGATGGAGGAGCTCTTCCAGGAGAGGAAGATCAAGCTGGATCTCTTCCTCCAGCTCCGCATCTTTGAGAGAGACGCCATTGATGTAAGGGAGAATTTGTGAAACTGTGCTGTCAATAATAATACATGTTTTTATAAAGTTGGAGATTGATTTTATGATGTCACAAGGGTGCATTGTAGTGTTTGGCGTTAGCAGTTAAAATCCCAAGACTTATCATCACGATTATCTGATGCGATTAATCGTGATTAATAGACTATTGAAAGAGTCGTCATTTAGCTTAGTGATTGATTCATCATATTCGGCGCATACAGACAAAAAATGCCATTTGGTGAATGAATGACATCTAAAACTGTACAAAATATAAACATTTTTAATTCAAGTTTTAAAAAAAAAGATTGTAAATATGTTCACTTTGGGATGAGGATTCTTCCTTCATAGTGTCTTGAAACTCTTTCGTGATCCTTTGTCAGATCATCTCAGACTTGGAGTCGTGGAACGAGGAGCTGACGGGTCAGAAGAGCGACTTTGACACAGAGGACTTGACGTTGGCCGAGCAGCAGCTCCAGCACCACGCCGACAAGGCCCTGACCATGAACAACCTGACGTTTGACGTCATCCACCAGGGGCAGGAACTGCTGCAGTACGTCAACGAAATCCAGGCATCTGGTGAGCTCCTGCCTGCATTCACATCTGTAAAGAACCTCAGATCTTTGCCCCATTGACAAGTTTTGTTAGATTATAGACATGTCGCATGATGTTGTTTATATCAGGAAGTTTCGTTCATGCGCACAACAAAATAAGTGTCAGTAGAGCAATTCTGTTAACAAAATAAAACCTGACAATGTAGAGATTATTAATTTAGTGCAGTGCGCCACAGGAAGGGAAAATAACGCAGAAAAAACGTTGAACAACGACTCAAAACAATAATTTTAATTTTTATTCGCTTTCTACACTACACACAGGCCTGTTGCCACAGCAACTGATTGATAACAGCTCCATTAGTGTATCAAGATTCAACAAGAAAAACCCAGAAACATTTCCCACACAACAAGCAGAACATTGAGTCCATTACAGTATTATGTCTTCAGGCTTGATATTTATTTTGCAATTCTTAATAAGCGATTGTTTGAACCCAGCTGTGGCTGATTAGCTAATTTAAACATCAGCACTGCTGATCTGTCAGAGTTGGTATGTGAGCTGGCTTATTTTTTTTAACTAAACAGAAACAAACTAAATTCCACAGCACATCTACATGTTAAGGTTGTCAAAGTCAAGCTAGCATATCTGACCTACTTCCCCCTGTATGTGTTTTAATTAACACTCTTTCCTGACCTGTGAAATGTGCCATCATTCGACCTTGTTATCTAGTTGTCATTGTGTTGACAATTAGTAGTTAAGCACGACCCCCCTTTTTCTTTTATACATCACACATTTAAGATTTAGCGCATCATTTCCTGTGGACAGGTTTTTTGCCCTCCAGCATGAAGATGGGAACAGTAATTACACACATCACACTGAAACGTGTCTGTAAAGTTTTTTTTTTTGTTATTTTCTCTTCTTGTTTATTTGCTGCCACACATTGTGTGTTTGAGTGTTTGGCCACACCTCATCATCAGGCTCAGGGTTCCTGCCAGGCTGCAGCTCATGTTCTGCTCAGTGTTGCTACAGATTTCTCTCTTGGCTCCATTAGTTTTCTTGTGTAGGTGTCCCGGGTCAGATTCACTCAGAGTTGGTGATGAGAGGCACCCACTCACCAACCATAATAACTCACCTGTGAACCTAAATGCTAATAGGTGCTGTGTGAAAGCTCGCAAGGAGAGGCTGCATTATGCAACGTGCAGTGAACACAGAAAATATATAAACAGAATATTAGATGTAAATTTCTGAAAAATATTTTTTATGTTGATTTTATTCAGTTGATTTCCTTATTCTTTGATTTTATATAACTTCTCAGTGAAATTAAGGTATAAAAAGACTTGGTTCGAAAACAGGAGTTTCTTAAATTATAACAATTAAATTTTTTTGTTTGTTTTTTTGCAAAAAAAGAGCAAGTCAACAGATTCTCTGATCTTCAAACCTTCTTAGATCAGAGTTTTAAGGACACTGTAGGTTTTTATCCTGAGTACTGTTACATGCCAAATACTTAAAAATATTTGTAAAGTTGTTGTTTTTTTATATATAGTTTTTTTTTTTAGCCTTTTTTACAGTTGTGATTTGGTTGCTCGTAGTCAGGTTTTCCCGTTCGAGGCTCATGTGACTGTCCCGTCTCTGTGCAGGGGTGGAGTTGCTGTGCGACCGCGACGTGGACATGGCCACGCGGGTTCAGGATTTGCTGGAGTTCCTCCATGAGAAGCAGCGGGAGCTGGACCTGGCAGCAGAGCAGCACCGCCGGCACCTGGAGCAGTGCGTCCAGCTGAGGCACCTGCAGGCTGAAGTCAAGCAGGTCGGACTCGCACTCACGGCTGCGTCATGCCGTCAGAGTTTTAAGGCGATTCAAATGAAGTGTTAAGCTTCGTTTTTGCCGCCTCAGGTTCTGGGCTGGATTCGAAACGGTGAATCGATGCTTAACGCCGGTCTAATCACGGCCAGCTCCCTGCAGGAGGCGGAGCAACTGCAGCGGGAACACGAACAGTTCCAGCACGCCATTGAGGTAAAGCCGTGCTGGATATTCCCATCATTTCAGTTTTCTCCTCAGATTTCACAGATTTCACTCCTCTTTTCATCTTGTCCCTCTGCAGAAGACCCACCAGAGTGCCCTGCAGGTCCAGCAGAAGGCGGAGGCTCTGCTGCAGTCCAACCACTACGACATGGACCTGATCAGAGACTGTGCAGAGAACGTGGCTTCTCACTGGCAGCAGCTCATGCTGAAGATGGAGGACCGACTGAAGCTAGTCAACGCCTCCGTGGCTTTCTACAAAACATCGGAACAGGTAGAAGACCCAATCACACTTCTTTCTTTGTTTTTCTTTATACTGAGAGGAAACTGATGCATTTTTCTAATAGGACAAGCACAATTTTTCATGTATGTTTGTAGGAGAAATAAGATAAACAACACTGCAGGGGAAAAAGTTGACTCAAAACTTTTTTATGACTTTTATGGGTAAAAACAGTAAACATTGAGTTTCTGTTTATTTTTTTATTGGTTTTTTTTATTAATGTGTTGCTAAAAAATCTTTTTTTTCTCTGTCTCTTTGTCTTTTTTCTTATTCTTTTCCTTTTTGTATAATCTTTTTCTTTCTTTTGTGCTTTCTTCTTTATTTGTATCTTTCCATCTTTTTTGGTTTCTCTCTTTCTATCTCTATTTCTTTCTCTTATCTTTTTCTTAATCTTTATTTTCTTTTTTTTTTTTTTTTTTGCTTTAGTAGTCCTGCATTGTACCTACAAAACAGTATCCTATATAAAAAAACCTGATACTGTATAAATAAAATGTTAAAACATGAAGCCCAGCTGCTGTTTCTGTTCATTTAAAGCACTTCTCTGTGTCTCTGACTGACTTTGTGTGTCCAGGTGTGCAGCGTGCTGGAGAGCCTGGAGCAGGAGTACAAGAGGGAGGAGGACTGGTGCGGAGGAGCTGACAAACTGGGACCCAACTGTGAGACAGACCATGTGACCCCCATGATCAGTAAGCACCTGGAACAGAAGGAGGCGTTCCTCAAGGTACTACGCCTGTGAGAATGAAACTAAATCAATTCTTTGGTCGCACTTCTGCTCTGACGTTGTGTGTTTCTGCCAGGCTTGCACTCTGGCCAGAAGAAACGCAGACGTCTTCCTGAAGTACATGCACAGAAACAGCGTCAACATGCCGGGGATGCTGAGCCACGTCAAGGCGCCGGAACAACAGGTCAAAAGTAAGTGCTGGATAATTTACTGGATGGAGCTGAGGCTGCATTCGCACAGCAGGTTTTGATGCTGAATTCCAGATTTTTTGTTTGTTTGTTTGTTTTTTTGTGGCCTGGTCATTAACAAAATTAAATTATGTGACCGAAATTAGTCTTGTGTGTGAATGATTTATGTCCCCAAAGTGACTCAGAACATCGTCACACAGCAGCAGACTGTATATAGAAATAATAGTAAGTAAAAGAAATAGTTTATTCAGCATTGGCAGCTGACAGTCTCATGACAAGATCATAACAAGACAAATCAGCTAATAAGAAGAAAACACAACTAATGGATCCAAAGTTTTGGTGAGATTGTGATGTGATGCAGTTCAGTGACAGATGTCTTTCAGAATTTCAGAATTATAATTCTCAACCATTGATTACGTTCAATCTGTCTTTTCTTGGCACAGAATTATGACACCTTTCTCACGTAAATGACGTAAAGTCGGACAAAATGCAGCATGGCCATTCAGACAGCAGACGCCTTGAAGACAACAGAAGGGGCATAATTTGGATTTTTTTTTTTAAACGATGAAAAGATAGTCATTTAGTTGTTCAGACTATTGTGAAAAAAACATATAGATCACATTTCCTTGCTTTTTGAATGCATTGTTAGTATTTATTTATTTATTTTGGTGTAAGCTCAAATACAAAGTTATTTTAGTCAGTCTGACTAGACTAACTAAAACAGCCAGTTAAATTATCAATAGGTGATAGCTTAGGAAAAATGAAATCAAAACAGAAATGGAAAATAATTAACACTGGTTATATTGAAGCAAGATTACATTTTTAACTGGTTATGTTGCAAAACAATCAAAGAGAGATTTGTTAAGTTAATCATCCATGAATACTCAGGGTTTCTAAGTAAAACTGCAGTAAAAGTAAAGCGATTGATTTCCGTACTATTCACATGTGGATAAGTATAAAACGTTGGCTGTTGCAGAGTAAAACGTCTCCACTGAAAACGTTCCTGTTTGTTTTGTGTGCAGACATCCTGAACGAGCTGCTGCAGCGAGAAAACAGAGTTCTGCATTTCTGGACCATGAGGAAGCGGCGACTGGACCAGTGTCAGCAGTACGTGGTGTTTGAACGCAGCGCCAAACAGGTACACCAAACACATCCAGAGACAGAAACCTGGAAACCTGATGGGAAAAGTGTGTTTAATCAGAGGGAGAGGACACACACTACGTAACAGTGTCAAACAAATGTCTGTGTGTGTGTGTGTGTGTGTGTGTGTGTGTGTGTGTGTGTGTGTGTGTGTGTGTGTGTGTGTGTGTGTGTGTGTAGGCTTTGGAGTGGATTCATGACGCCGGGGAGTTTTACCTGTCTACACACACATCCACCGGCTCCAGCATCCATCACACACAGGAACTCCTGAAGGAGCACGAGGACTTCCACATTACAGCCAGGGTCAGAGGTCACAACAATACAAATTTAATGTCTTTTCTACAGATTGGAATATTAAACTCACTCTGCTCTCCTTCTAAAAGCAAACCAAGGAGCGCGTGAAGCTGCTAATCCAGCTGGCCGACGGATTCTGCGAGAAAGGCCACAGCCACGCGGCGGAGATTAAGAAGTGGGTGACGGCCGTGGACAAACGCTACAGAGATTTCTCCCTGCGCATGGACAAGTATCGCAGCAGCCTGGAGAAAGCCTTGGGCATCCCGTCAGACTCCAACAAGGCGGTACGGGTGATCGATGGTTAAGATCAGAGCTGGACGATAAATCAGTTTGATTTATCGTAAAGATTTTTGGCATTCGAAGCTTTAATTTGTCAAAAATCTGGATTTGTTTTTTCACCATTTCACTTCTTGGGTTTCCATAGTTCAGAGAGATGCCACGACGCCCACGGCGCCCATCTTGTTTGTTTATCATGTTTTGCAGCTTCTGTTTATTTCAACTTTGAATTCAGGTCAACTCAACGACAAAATATAAGGGTCATTTCTTTTTTTTCTTTCTTTTTTCCTTTTTTGTCAGAACAAAACTATGATGTTGCAAGAATACAGTCTAAATAATAAGAAGAAAAAGTCCTAATATTAGGAGAATATTTTTTTCTTACTTTTCCCAGGAACAATTTTAAATATCTACATGTATTTAAAGTTAAATTTACAGTTTTTCAGTATTTTTTTTTGTGCTCTCCCATAGCCAGGCCATGACATTTTGTTGCCAAATTCACTGTTGAGTCTTTGAGCAATGACAATAAAGTTGGTCTGAGTTTTCTAAAAAAAATAAAAATAACAAGAAAATTATCTAGCTCTTTTCTCATTAAAATAAAATTTTTCTTGTAATTTTAAAATGTTCTTCTGGTAAAAATTCCCTTTTTACTCTTAATAATATCACTATATTCCCATAATTAAACTAAATTCCCATTGCTTGGTCCTAATAATTTTTTGTGAACTTACAGAAGGGAGTAAAAACCCCTTTTCAAAATTATTTTCTGTCATTTGTAATTATTTATTTAAAAAAGAAAGCAAAAAAAAAAAAAGTCTGATTTTATTGTTAAGCCATATCACCCATCGCCACCCAAACCTAATTCACTCCCATGATGCCTCAGTACGCCCACTAATCTTTAAGTGTCCTTCTTTTCTAGAGCAAGGACCTTCAGCTGGACATCATCCCGGCCACTCCTCCGGGGTCAGAGGTCAAACTCAGGGACGCTGCTGCGCACGAGCCGAACGAGGAGAAACGCAAGTCGGCGCGCAGGAAGGAGTATGTGAGGCGTTTCCTGTTTGCCACTCCGTTCAGAGCGTTTCACGAAACCTCACAGTCATTCAGCAGATTAAAAGCAATCGGCTTTATGAACGTAGTCAGGACTGCGTTTACGTAATAAGGAAACGATAACAAGTCAGCGCTTTCCCTTCCAAACCAAAGATTTACTGCCGAGTTAATTGAATTAGGTGAACGAGAAGTCTGGCACTCTTTCAAGAAGACGAGCTCCAAACTGATCCGTCATTGTTCTTGTCAACACTGAATAAGGGAGTTTAATGTAAATGTGTAGGCATGATGGACTTTAAACATCCTTCTCCATCTGTTCGGCTTCTCTTTGCTGTGCCAGGCGGAGGGTGACTGTGTCATTTCAGCCTCGTGCCACAAATCAGCAGCATAATTTATGTCACTCCTGGCAGGTTTATGACCGAGTTTAATGGCCCCATAAGGCTTTCATTATTCACTGCAGTAAATGGACGACGCTGACAAGCTGAGAAAGAGCTATTGATTATTCACCGCTTGAATGAGGACAGTATGACAAGCTGCCAACTTGTGCCTGTGCTTTTTGGGGGGTTTTTACAGTGTTTGTGTGTGTGTCTAGGTTCATCATGGCCGAGCTGATTCAGACAGAGAAAACATACGTGCGAGACCTGCGGGAATGCATGGACGTAAGAAAACCTCAGAGACTCGCACAAAACGCCTCTGGAAAGTACAGTAGCTGTGACATTCCTCTCTGCTCTTCATGCAGACATACTTGTGGGAGATGACCAGCGGCGTGGAGGAGATTCCCCCAGGAATCATCAACAAGGAGCACATCATTTTTGGGAACATGCAGGACCTCTACGAATTCCACCATAAGTAAGACACGTCTGTTTAAAGACACAGAGCATTGTTTAGTTTAATCAAATCAATCAGCTTATTAACAAATTTCATGATTGATTCATAAACACGTTCTCTTACGACACATTGTGCAAAAGGAGCAGGAAGGAGAAAAAATGGTTCATTAACTTGTCCCTTTCTCAGTAATAAATGTTTTTCTTATTTATAATACATAGTTATGTTTTTTTGTAAAATGTTAAGCATGGTGGTTATGCAGTAATTATTTAGGGATTTAATTTGTACTCAATGAACCGGAGCTACTCATGAATTTTTATATATAAAGATATTAAAGTGTGAAATATGACAGAATCTGCAACGAGCAGCTGAAAAAAAAGAAAAAGAAAGTCCACACATTTTAGTTGCTGCAGTTGTAACTTAATAAAACTCAGTATAAATAAACGCCTGCAAACATCAGTGAACTGAAGGAATTTTGTAAAGAACAATGGGCTCAAATTGCTCCTCGACAATCTGTGACTGCTCCTTCCACACGTTGCTGCTGAAGCTGCTCAATAACAGGGTGCACATAGTTTTTTGTATCACTTTTAGCAGTTATTTAAACTATTTCTATGCAATTATTTCCATGTAAGAAAGTTGTTTTTAATGTATTTTACATTTTCATCTCACACTCCCAAAATTATTCCAGCATCTTTCTCAAAGAGTTGGAGAAGTATGAGCAGCTTCCTGAAGATGTTGGCCATTGCTTTGTCACATGGGTACGTATCATTTGGCTGCAGGTATTTGCAACATGTCACCAGACCTAAACAGAACTGTATCCATTTGTAACATTTCTCTGCTCTTTAAGGCCGATAAGTTCCAGATGTACGTGAACTACTGCAAGAACAAACCCGACTCCACGCAGCTGATATTGGAGCATGCTGGGAACTACTTTGACGTGAGTAGCACCGCTAGCGAGAGCGACACCGGGAAGGTTTTCTCGGCTATGTACGATCAGAACTTACCCGACCTTTTCTACCCGGCGACAGGAAATCCAGCAACGGCACCGACTGGCCAACTCCATCTCCTCCTACCTGATCAAGCCGGTGCAGAGAATCACCAAGTATCAGCTTCTGCTGAAGGTCGCACATCTCACCGCACCTCACAGCCGCTGTATCCAAGCATCTCCATCGTGATTCTGCTGATTCCTGCCCGCTTGTCTGTTTAGGAGCTGCTGACGTGTTGCGAAGAAGGGAAAGGAGAGATCAAAGACGGCCTGGAGGTGATGCTCAACGTTCCCAAGAAGGCAAACGATGCCATGCATCTTTCCATGCTGGAAGGTGAGCGCCACACTGTGGTTGGACTGTTGATCGAGCCTGGTAATTACTACTTTGCCAATAATATCTAACTTGTTAAAGCTGAACTATTTCGTGTCTGAAGGATAAGGCTTGGTTCGCCTAAGATTTTATTCAGACTTATTAGAATAAATGTAAAAGAATCTAGACACGACACAGCAGTTCGTTGTTTATGGAAGTAATAAAATATGGAGCCGTTCATGGATCGATTTCAGAGTTTATTCAGCAACAAGAGCCGACATGCCGTTACAAAATTACAGCAACGTGAAGGAAGGTCGTAGAAAGAAAACACAACTAACAGCAACGGCATTTTGTGGAAGTCTGTTTGGACGTGTGTGTGAAGAGTGATGGGCTTGTGAGGCGACTGGCTTCAGTGACACAGACTTCTTTCAAAGTTTCATAATTTTATTTTCAGCCATTGTTTACGTCCAGATTGTCGTCTTGTGGCGCAGAATTATGATGCGTGTCTCACTTCAATGACATAAAAGTTAGATAAAATACGACATGATCGTTCAGACAGAAAACGCTTTGAAATCATTTGGATATTAATCTAATTTGGTGCCGTGTATGAAAGTGTCTGAAGATTGGAATTGGGCCGTTCAGACTGCTGTGAAAAAGTCGGATATTAGTTCCATTTTAACAAAACAAAAATCATATTTGGGTCACATTTGCCTTCTATGTGAACGTAACCAAAGAGACTTAAAGAGACTTGAGATTAAGGCTGAGAGTTATTTATTAGTCAAAGCTTTATTTCTTATGACAGAACTAATGTGTAAAATAGGCAACATTTGGCAAGACTTGAAACTTGAAACTGTTCACAATGTTCCTGATTTATAATCCAATCTATTTGGCAAAGAAATTAGTTCCACCTTAAGAAAACCTCTACTTAGTGCAAATCTATCACAAGCTAAAAATAAAATGCATAAAAGTTTCAGACTTTAATGAGATAACGTTAAAAAAAGTTTTGGAGAATGAAAGGGAAGTATGAAAAAAAGGTTTTTAAAGAAAACACCGATTTGATTTTAGAACGAGTCTCTGTTCAAGTCTACTGTTTTTCCTGCAGGATTCGATGAGAACATCGAGTCTCAGGGCGAGCTCATCCTCCAGGACTCCTTCCAGGTCTGGGATCCCAAGACTTTAATCCGTAAAGGCCGAGAGCGCCACCTCTTCCTCTTCGAGATGTCTCTGGTGTTCAGCAAGGAGGTGAAGGATTCCAACGGCAGGAGCAAATACATCTACAAGAGCAAGCTGTTTGTAAGTACATGAGGACGGATCCACACAGAGTTTTCAGACTTTTGTTCATTTATCTCTGTGATGACATTCAAAGGGAAAACAAGACTTGAAACAGAGGTGGTTGATATGTATACACACATAGATCTGTATTTATAAAAAATGTGTTTTGTTTTGGATATTGAGCCACTAACTTGAAAACTTACAGATAATTCTTTTTAGCCTGTAAACAAACTCATGTCAAGTCTATCGGTGGTAGTTCTTGAAAAGACCTAGATCAATGTCAGTTAAAGTGAAATGTCCATTTAACTCTCTGCAAAATCAAAAGCTAACTTTACCAATAAGTTTGTAGAACATGCATGTAATAAAACACACATCCGGTGTCAGATTTGGGGTAATAAATGCCACCTTTTACCCCAAGACTACGTTTTTTTTTTCCTTGTCTGCACTTGGCATGAGAGTGAAATCATCTCTGACCTTTTAAAATAGGGACAACCTGAAACGTTTGGTGCGCTCTTTCTCTCCCTCCTGCAGACGTCTGAGCTGGGCGTGACGGAGCACGTTGAAGGAGATCCATGTAAGTTTGCCTTATGGGTGGGACGTACCCCGACATCTGACAACAAAATAGTTCTCAAGGTAAGGAATGAGAAAGTTTCTCCTTTTCCTACTGCTGAGATGTTCTCAAGGGTTGGCTAATACAGTTGTAAGAAGAAGATGTTAAAAACTACACTGAGAAAAATAAGAGGCTAAGATTTCATATATATTTTTTGATTTTGAATCATCTGTCTTGGTTTAACCCAAATGTGTGGCTTTCCTTCTCTCTTTCTTTTTTTCCCCTTTTCGTTTATACGACAGAGTATTATTTCTACTAAGAAAAAAAAGTACTACGATTTATGGGAGTGACGTTTAATAAGTTGTATACTGATAATAGTTGTAGTATTACGAGAATAAAGGCATACTATCTTGAGAATAAAGCTGTAATATTATGAGAAAAGTCGTAATCGTATGACAATAACATCATTATATCACAAAAATGAAATTATGGCCTCTTGAGAAAAAGCTAACTTTAGCAATAAGTTTTTAGAGAATAATTTCTAAAAAATAAAAACATTTTGTAGCATAACAAAAAGTTATTTTTGTAATAATATGAACATATTCAATATATATTTATGTAAAAATATGATTTCCGTCTCATACTTTATTTTTATTTTTTTTCTTAGTCCCTGATACTCCATCGTAAACTTGTAATGTTTTATAAGCGGCTGAGTTTTCTTTCAGCCCTCCTCTGTCTTCCTTCTCTCTCTCTGTCTTTGTCCTCCGGTCAGATCAGCTTTGTTCCATCTGTTAAAAAAAAAAAAAACACAAACACATCTGTAAACCTGGGGCTGTGTTTTCTGTGGATGTTTGTACATCTAACTCTCTATGTGGGCTGAATCGCTTCCACCAACACTGGTGACACCGTCAGCTCATGTACGCCCACGGTCCCTCATGCCACTTCATCAAAGAAACACGTCATCTCCCTATTGAAGCAGAAAAACGATCTTTTAATCATCCAAACCTTCCCCCCACACCTCCATCACCCCTCCATTCGTCTTCTGTGTGTTTTTGTTGTGGAGCTCACAGATGGATTAAAGTTAGCGTCCGCCGCTGGCACAGCATGAGCCCAGAAACCCCCCACACTCTGCTCTGTTACACACGTTCACTACTAAACTAACCACTGACTAGCAGTCATTCAGTATGTGCGTTGTAAATTGTCTCCCCACAGACTCACACAAACACAGTTTCCTCATTACTGTCTGCACATTTAAATGGCCATCATTACTCTGTCAAAGGCAGATTATATCCATGTTTTGCATTTCTGTCACGTGACTTCATTTCTTTTTTGTTTTGTTGGTGAGCGCATAAAAAAAAAATGTCCCGTATATTTTCTTAAGCCAAATCAGTGAAATTCTTTATTCTATATTTTAAATTCAAAGCTAAGTCAGGGAGCCAAACATGGAGCAACGGTGAGTACAAACGATCCCACAACACAGCCCTCGTCTGCTTCACACAAGTCTGCAGGCTTCCTGTTTACGGTCTTGGCTGAGTTTGTTGTGCATCTTTAAACGGCATACTGCTTCCCAATCCTGGATACTAATACAAAAATCCTTGGCGGAAAGAATTTTCCAAATTAAGAATTTTAAGTTTCATCTTTTTGTTCAAATGAAAGAAAATTCTGATTCATTTTCTTCATAACATCGATGTGTGCAGCTATTTCTATAATACTTTTTATCAATCATTTCAGAAAGTGAAACTCTTATAGATTCATTGCATAGTGAAAATTTTCAAGCTTTTATTTCTTGTAATTTTTTGCTTACGGCTTGTAGATCATTAAAACCCAAAATGCAGCGTCTCAGAACGTTACAGAGGATTAATAAAAGACGATGTTTTGAGTTAAAGCTGCAGTATGTAATTTTTTTATATGTATATATTGTTTATATGTTTGTTCACATGTTTGTTGAAACTGTCTGAATGTCATGACAGTATAATATGAGACAATTTGTGAAGAAAATCAGCCTCCTCTGCTTTCCCCCAGTGCTCCAAGTGAAAGCTAGAAACCACCAATCAGGGCCAGGAGGCAAATCTTGGCACTGTCAATCATGTCCATGTACGCGCCACTCACCCTATCCCCTCCTTTCCTCGCTCTCTGCTAGGATAGAGCTTCATCTGAGTGTGTCATGGATGCTAAGGCTAGTTAGCATAGCCACTAATGATGACTGGCAGTTTTCTTGTCTTAGTAACTTCTTTCCTTGCTATTATCACATTTAGCTGTGCGTTCATGAAGATGATTGACAGCGCTTTGACCCTCCTTCTGGCTCTGATTGGTTGCATTTCTTCAGACTGCAAAGCAGCTCAGGGAGGAGATTGAAGTTTTCACAGATTATCTGTCTCATACTGTCCTGACATGGTTTTAACAAATATGTAAAAAAAAAAGAAAAAAATTCATACTGCACCGTTAATTATCTGATTAGTATGTGACACCATGAGTTTCTGATATTTAACTTATTAAAAAAAAACTTGAAATCTTTCACTCTGTATGAAATTTATGAATGTAGCCTTCAGAAATGTAAATTTGAAAAATACCAGAAGTTAAATTAAAAGAAGTCATTCAGACTTGTGTGAAACGGAGTGAAATTTCATTAACAAAGTTTTTAGTTTTCGTTTTGAGATCTCACGCCGGATCTCGTTCAACATCCTCCTTTCCTGCCCTTTCGTAGGCATCAAACATTGAGAACAAACAGGACTGGATCAAACACATCAGAGAGGTGATCCAGGAGCGCACCATTCATCTGAGAGGAGCCCTGAAGGAGCCCATTCACATCCCCAAGCCCAGCACAGCCAAGCATCCCAAAGGGCGAAGGTAAACCCGACGGCAGTTAGAGAGTGAAACATCTTGTCTCCTGAGAACAATGGTATTATGACACAGTCCTGTGTTCTGTGTTCAGGGATTTAGAGGACTTGGACAGTCAGGGTGAAGGCAGCAGCCAACCAGACACCATCTCTCTGGCGTCACGCACCTCTCAGAACACGCTGGACAGCGACAAGGTGACAACTCCGCACTTTTTAAAAATCAGAACAAAGAAAGTCAGAATCTGATCCTTTGTCGTCCTATGAGAACTCTGAACGGCTTTTCTCTTCCTCAGCTCTCTGGCGGCTGCGAGTTCACCGTGGTGATCCACGACTTCATGGCCAGCAACAGCAACGAGCTGACGCTGAGGCGAGGTCAGACCGTCGAGGTCCTGGAGCGTTGCCACGACAAACCCGACTGGTGCCTGGTGAGGACGACGGACCGCTCGCCGGCCCTGGAGGGCCTGGTCCCCTGCGCCATGCTCTGCATCGCCCACTCCAGGTCGTCTATGGAGATGGAGGGAATCTTCAACCACAAAGGTTCGGATCCGACCGCTGCAGTTCTGATCCGCAAAGATTTTCCCATTCAGAACACAAGCTTCAGTGGGTTTTGTTTGGATCTTTATGTGATAAACCAAAACACGATGCTCTCTTCATTTTTCTTTAGAAAAAGGTAGAATTGTTTTCTTAGAAGTGGAGGTACAGACCTTTTATTGAAGAGTGGCAAAGAAAGCTGCAAGATCTACTGAAGGTTTGTTAATCTAGAGGACAGAGGAAAACTTGTGGAAGAACCAAAGCGGAGCTTTCTGGCATTTGACGAAAAGCTAACACCAGAGATCTTAGTGGACCATAAATTGTCCCAGTAACTCTAAATAGGTGGGTTTTAAACCTCGAAATATAGGAAGTCAGTGTTTCAGGACATTCACAGTTTCCTGGAGGTTTGTTCCAGATTTGTAGAGCATCCCCAAATGTTGAATTGAAACTAAATTTTACAAAGTTTTGTCTGTTATTAACAAAACGTGCTCAATTTTGCTAAATGTTTGCGACAGACTTTGACAAAAGCAAACCACAATCATGGAGCACTTTGTCCACGTCAGTCTCGTAAAAAAAGTCTTGTCAAAACACATTACAAAGGTGGTAACTTGATAAAGGTTACTAATTTTATGGCGTTTGAATACTTTAGCAAAGTACTGTTGCAATGTAATTTGATACTTTGAATGTGCATACCACAGCATTTCTAAAGCTCCTCTTCTCTGCCCCTCACAGACACTCTGTCGGTGTGCAGCAGTGACTCCATCATGCCAGGATCTTCAGCCACGCTGCAGCCTGGTCACGGCATCGGCTCCCACAGCTCACCTGGACCCAAACGACCAGGTAGGCAATCGTGGCGATTATAGCTCATGTTGTACGTAGGTCTGTTGCAATAAGCAATAAATCAGTTAATCACACCATTTTCATTTGCATGATAAATTGTTTTCCTCTTTTGACCAAAAACTTGGTCACGAAAGTCTTAGGTCTGGCGCTGTGGTCTCAACTGGACGCTTTTTTTGAAAATCTATTTTGTGTACAGAGATTTCATAATTCATTTTGTTGTTGTTTGTGTTGTTTTGTTTATTTATCTTTAGATATTTAACGTGTCCTCCTGTTCCAGTGATAAACGTTCATTAGAATCTAACCTGTTCTTTATCGTTTGCATTATTTTGCCAGTAGCATAATACTACATGAAAATGTTGTCAAAGCAATATTATCGATATCGCGAGAACTTCTGGGACGGTTTATTGTCCAGGAACATTTGTTATCATGGCAGGCTTAGTTGTGTGAGTGTATTTTATGTTTTGCCAGAAGTTGTTTGATGTCGTGGTAAAACTGGGAGGAGATTAACGTTGAAGCTGTAACCACTACGTTTCCAAGGCAACACGCTTCGCAAGTGGCTGACCAGTCCGGTGCGTCGGCTCAGCAGCGGCAAGGCGGACGGCCACGTCAAGAAGCTGGCCAGCAAGCACAAGAAGAACCGGGAGGTGAGGAAGAGCGGCGAGATAACGATGGGCTCGCAGAAAGACTCTGACGACAGCGCCGCCACACCTCAGGATGAAACTCTGGAGGAGGTGGGTGGACACACACACACACACACATACACACACACACACACACACAGACACACACACACGCTTTGATTTCCATATAATATATTAGGCAACATAATCTCACCACCACCATTCTTGCGTGCGTCTCAGAGGGTTCGTAACGAAGGCCTGTCGAGCGGCACGCTGTCCAAGTCCAGTTCGTCAGGCATGCAGAGCTGCGGAGAGGAGGAAGGAGAGGAGGGGGCCGACTCGGTTCCTCTGCCCCCGCCCATGGCCATCCAGCAGCACAGCCTGCTGCAGCCGGACTCGCAGGACGACAAGGTGAGGACAAGGAGACTCGACCCAATCACCCAGGAGAGGAGGCTGGGATTAAGATACGACCTGCTTCATGTCAGTTTGGGATTTTCAGATTTTTGTAAAACAATAGTGACACATATGTGCATTATTATGTGCACAGCTGCTCATTTCCAGTAAGCGGTTCTGATTCTAAACATCATTTAGTTTTGGATTGAAATAGAAAGTCATCCCAGAAAGCTGTCGAATATCACTTTTTCTTTTTGTATTATCTGCAATGAAACATAAAAGTAATTGCCTTACTTGTCCCATGTAAAGAAAAACTCTGCTTTATAGGATGTGATGCTTTAGCTGCATTTTACAGAGCGTTGTGAAACTGCAACAAATCACAACTTGAATGTTTGTTTTGTTGGGATTCCATGTGATAGACCAACACAAAACTGACAAGTAGGAGAAAACAATAAAACAGAAATGTGAAAAACCAAAGGGGGAATTTATATTCAGCTGATGCCTCTAAATAAAATCCAGTGCAGCTAGTTTTCTGCAGGAGTTTGCTGATATGTAAACAAGCAAACTTCCGCATTTAGCTAATGCTGACTATGTCAAGAATTACTTTTATTATTTCCTTTAGTTTTTATCTCAGAAAGTTGACAGTTTTAAGTTTTCATGTGAAAAATGCAGATAGTAATGCATGAGAATTACTATTTGATTCCTAAAATGGTTTAAAATTTCTTACATTACAGATATTTAAAATGTTTAAACTTAGTTCTCACTAAACTATTCACCCCTCTTTAATTTTTTTTGGTCACTTTACCACCATAATAAGCCAGGTGTTTTATAGAGTTTTCATGCCACAGACCAACAGAAAGAGAGGCGTTACAGTAAAGTCTTTTTATTTTTTGCAAATGAAATGTTAGAGTTGTCTTGTATCTGTGTTCAGCTAAACTGAGTTAATCCCAAATAACCACTGTATATTATCTCTGGTTGCGTTTATTATTATTATTTTGCATTCTGCTCCAGTCTCAGGTCATTGGCTCCAACCATGTTGCTCCACATGATGATGCTGCCAGAATCATGTCATCCTAGTCGGGGTGTTTTCAGGATGATGTCCAGTTAATTTTTCTCTTCATGTGACGTTTTTACGTCACTCCAGATCAGCATGTTTATTTGAATTTTCTCTTTCCAAAGTGTTGCTCTGTCTTGGTCTATCACATAAAATCCAAATGGCAAATATTAAACTTTAGGTTTATAAAATGACAAAGCAGAGTTACACAAGATGCAACTCTATACTATTCTGTCCTTTTGATCCATTATTTTAAACAAATTTATTTTTAAATGAACTTAAGCTGAGTCCATCTTTCGCTAAGACTTTCTGATTTGTTTATCTCGTTTCCCTTAAAATGTCATTTTCTGACGCAAATAAGTGAAACCTTCCCAGTCATGCTGAGCATTTTTCTCTTCCTATTCTGCCCTGTCTTTTTTTTAAAAACAGAGTGTTACATTTTAGGCAGCAAAAGACTAAAGCAGATACTCTTCTGACACTAATTTGTGTTTCTCTTTTGTTTTGTTTCCTGGTTGTATTGTTTGCTGTTTGCCATGACGTAGCATTACCTTGATTTATGTCCTGTCTTTGCTTTGTCTCAGTTTCCATATCTCTCCATCTGAAAGCCTTGATCTTCCCCTTCTGTCTCCTCCCTCAGTCTGATTCTTTAATTCCTACTTTTTCCCGCTCCTTCCACTTTAAAATGCCTTTTCTAAAGCCTGTTCTTTTTGAGGGGAAATGACTTTAAGCTTCTTAACTTCCTTTTTTTTTTTTTAAACGCACTCTGCTTAACTTTTGTATTTTAACAAATTCATAACATTCCTGGATTCCTTTAGTTCTTTTATTTCCTTTCTTGTTTGTTGTTGGGGTTTTTTTCGTTTTGTTTTTTTTTACTGTAACTCTTCGGTGAGCAGGTTAGGACAAGCTGTAAATAAATAGAGAGAGGACACATGTAGCTCCTAACTCTGAGTGGAGGGGGCAGCGTGGAGGTTTTTTTATTCTTTCCCCTTCAGCGGTCAGTTGAGAGTCGAGGAATGCACTGCCTTATTTCTGCCAGCTTTACAATGCCTTGAGAATGCTCGACTTGCACTTGAATGCAGCGTATTTGTGCATGCTTTAAGAAGCCACAGCAAGGGACGACAGACGCTAAGGAAGGAACGAGCGGCTCGTAAGAGAGCGGGTCAGGTTCCCCCCGTCAGCCTCCTCTCTCACAATCTGAATAAAAGCCACGCTGAAATGAAGATTCAAACCCCTTCCTGGTCCCACCTCCTGTCATCCCACCCGACCAATCACAGCTTCCCCTCCGTGCCCCCTCCCCCTCCCCCGCTCGTCCTCATTCCCCCTCTTCTTAACCTTATGTGCGTTACCTCATTACCCATGCAAGTAATTGGCACCTCTAAATGCTGGCGAGGCCAGAAGGGCGCAAAGCACAGAAAGGGTGAGAGTCTCCTGAACTATATCTGCACAAACACATCCATGAAACCTCTTTCATCCTCGCTGATGGCATTTTCTCCTCCATACCAGGAACACGACAGAAAACTTCTCTTTCCATTCAGATTGCACTTTTTTTTCTCCCCCCACATTCTTTCTATCAAACCTTGAATGATTTTTTCCCCCACATTTCTTTTATCCTTCCGCCTCATGTTTTCCCCTCTCCATTTATAGTTTTCTGAATTTCACATAAGTTTCCTTTGTTTTTTATTGTTTTGAGTTTTTTTTTTGTTGTTTTATATTTTACTTTAGTTTTAAATGTAACTCCTCGGAAACTTGGAGTTTCACCAATTAGAGGAACCTCCTCAGATTATATCACTGAATTTTTTTTTTAAACTAAACTTGGTGGGGGGGGGGGAAGCATTCACAAAAGACAACTAATATGCATTCAAGTCATTAAAAGCTGACCTTTAACCTCTAGAGAGAGGGCATTTTCTTTGCTGTCCATTAATGGATTTCTCTAAATTGAGAATTAAAATTAAAACCAAGAGCTACTGAACAAACCCGAGCACACCGGCTGCCATGTTCTCACGGCTGTTCTGCTTGCCTCCCCTCTCTGTGGCTGCTCAGACGTCTTCCCGTCTATCCGTCCGTCCGTCCAGTTCGGAGACGCCCAGTGCCGCCGAGTTGGTGAGCGCCATCGAGGAGTTGGTCAAAAGCAAGATGGTAGGAAACCAACACACACCGTGTGTGTGTGCGCGTGCCGACGTTCACAAAATCGGCTTCGTGATCATGAGTTTAGGCGCAGCGTTCTCCACAGTTATGGACATCCTTCATACAGATATCTGAAAAGCAATAATCTCACACTGAAAATTTACAAATGTGAAAACCTGTCTCTCATTTATTCAGTGTGGATAAATTTGTACAATAAAAATGGCCTGCCCTGTTTTTGATGATAATTTCCATAAAACAAAAGTGATAGAAACAGTTTGATTGATCTATTTCTAGTCCTTTCTGTCTCTCTCTCGGTATCTTTCTATCTATTTCTGTCTCTCTGTTTCTTCTGGACTTTTCAACTTTTTAGTTTTATGTCATCACAATGAAACTCGTTCATTACAAGTCTTTTCACCAGGGGTGAACTGATATGAACACTTTGGCCAGTCAGTATCCAACACTAATATTGCTATTATGGCTGAAAACCAATATTACACATATAATATTACACACCCACATATATATATATATACATATATACATACATAGCAGCTGTATATATATATATATATCGCTAAACCTTTGACCTTTGACATGACCAAATACCACATGACCAAACTTGTCCTCCAGAAACAAGATGGAGATAAATATTGCTTGTTAACATCAAATCAATTCTATTTATTAGATACCGATCTGTTAAAAACATCTGCCGATCCCGGTCTTGGTGTGCAACCTTGTGCATCCCTATTATTTTCCCCCACATCTTCATCAACAGCTGCTATAAAATGAACTTGATTAACATCAGTGATCCTCGTTTGAAAAATCCTGCAAAATAAATGTATTATTTATTAAATAATAATTTAATAAATTATTAAAATACATAAAATGCTTAAAATACATAATAATTCATGTATTATTTATTACATTTATTTATTAAAATAAATGTATGTAGAACTATAATCAGTTGAAATGACTCCAGCTAACGTGTTTTTTTTTCTCTTTTGCCCCCGTTGTTGCGTGCGGACGCAGGCTCTGGAGGACAGACCCAGCTCTCTGTCTGTAGAGCAGGGCGACAGCAGCTCCCCCTCCTTCAACCCCTCCGATAACTCCCTCCTGTCCTCCTCCTCGCCTGGGGAAGAGATGGATGAACGCAGGGCCAGCATCGTTAAGAAAAGACAGTAAGTGTGCTGCTGTCTAACACAAACAAACTCCCATTTCTCTCTTCAGCTGAATCATCTTGTTGTCGTTTTAGCTACGTTCTGCTGGAGCTGGTAGAAACCGAGCGAGATTACGTCCGGGATCTGGGTCTCGTTGTCGAGGTGAGCGCGCTACGTTTCTTTGTTTTCCTTTATGCCACATATTCAAGCTTATATTTTTGTCTTTTGTCTCCATAAATAAGGGCTACATGAGCAGGATGAAGGAGGAGGGCGTTCCCGACGATATGAGGGGGAAGGATAAAATCGTGTTTGGAAATATCCATCAAATCTACGACTGGCACAAAGAGTACGTCAAACGCTGGAATCCAGATTTCCTTCTGTTCAGTCGCCATCTAAATAACTAAATGTTTCTCTTTCCCTCTCCCTCAGTTTCTTCCTCAGGGAGTTGGAGAAATGCTTAGAAGACCCTGACAGGCTGGGACTGCTGTTTCTCAAACAGGTTTGTCATTTCTGCATGTTTTCTAGATTTAAACTTTGTGTTTGTGGAAGTCTGAAGTCTTCTGCTTGGTGTTCTCACAGGAGCGCAGGTTAAACATGTACGTAGTGTACTGTCAGAACAAGCCCAAGTCGGAGCACATCGTGTCAGAGTACATCGACACCTACTTCGAGGTAAACAGCGATTTAGCTGGAGAGGAATCAGCTGTAGACAGCTTTCAAACTCTGAGAACTCAGTTTTATTTGTTTTTGTTAATGCAGGATCTGAAGCAGAGGTTGGGGCACCGGCTGCAGATCACAGACCTGCTCATTAAACCTGTTCAAAGGATCATGAAATACCAGCTGCTGCTCAAGGTTAGTCCTTACTGACCCAGCAGAGGGCGCCGAACCCTCTACTCGGCTTAGATTAATTTAAAAACGCTTTCATCTCTGACTTCTCTGATTGTATTTTTCAAAGTCAAACATTACCAATGTTTTTGTCTTTTGCCGTGACATGTTTGCTTTGGCTGATTTAGGATTTCCTCAAGCACTCTAAAAAGGCTGGACTGGAGAGTCCAGATTTAGAGGCAAGTGACTGAAAGCTTCTGCTTGAACACTTCATTTAAAAGACAATCTTTGCTTTTCTAAAAACATTTTTCATTTCCGTCTCTTACAGAAAGCAGTGGAGGTCATGTGCATCGTGCCAAAAAGGTGCAACGACATGATGAATGTTGGTCGCCTTCAAGGATTTGATGTAGGAAAAATTTTATTACACAACATTGCCTCCCAAAAGTTTCTTTTGGGCTTTTTCCACAAACCTCAGTATATTTTATTGCAATGTTATGTAAGAGACCAGCATAAAGTGGGAATAGGAAACAATTTCTAGCACATGTGCACACAAAAAAAAATCTGTGGAAGAGGGTTGAATGTGAATGTACACTAGTTTTACTAGATTAAGTCCTTAAAAACCCTGTATTGTTTTCTTTTCTCTTCACAATTTTTCATTATATGGATACAAACAATTATTTGACTTACGATTAATTAACAATTAATGGTTTAATAGGTTGAAATTAGTTCCAATCGATACAATGTGGGCTTAGAGCTTCTTATTCAGTATTGTAGTTTGACCGCCATCCAGCAAAGGGCGCCATCTTGAATGTTGCCGGTTGATACAGAAACAAAGATGGCGGGGGCATAAAAGACCTGGAGAGAGAAACAATCCATCGTCTTTTATTTTTCTCTTTAGCAAGTTAAGAGGTTCTTGTTTTGTTATATTTTATGAATATGTCAGAGATTATTAATGTGATAAAATCTCAATATTCTACTTATTGAGTCAGAATTTCATACAAATTATGTTAAAATTTAATTAGGAATTTTTTTTTATTGAGCATTTTCCCCAAACATTTAGCCCTTCTTAACAATCCTGATTGTAAAGACAATGGCCATTTATCAATTAATTATTGATTAATTGATTCCTGGCATCCCTAATTCACTGCTTTTGTGTGGGTTTATCACATAACATTGCAATAAAGTTTGAGTTTGGCAAAATGTGAAAAAGCTCAATAGGACAGTGGCTTAATTGATTTATACTGAATTCTGTGTTGTGAAATGCTTCTAATAAAAGACTTTTCCTGTTTCTCCGTCTCCAGGGGAAGATTGTAGCTCAGGGTCGCTTGTTGCTGCAGGACACGTTCATGGTGTCCGACCCAGACGGCGGCCCGCACGGCAGGATGAAGGAGAGGAGGGTGTTCCTGTTCGAGCAGCTGGTTATCTTCAGCGAGCCTCTGGACAAAAAGAAAGGTTTCTCTCTGCCAGGCTTCCTCTATAAACACAGCATCAAGGTGAGAACAGTACAAAGTTGGCTGAATGATTTGTTGTGACACGGATGTTGAGTCCCTGACCCTTTTGGCAATCCAGGTCAGCTGTTTGGGTCTGGAGGAGAGCGTGGAAGGCGATCCCTGTAAGTTTATTCTCACTTCTCGGTCAACCAACGGGACGCTGGAGTCCTTCGTGCTTCACTCCTCCCATCCGGGGGTGTGTGAAGTCTGGACCCTTCAGATCAGCCAGATACTGGAGAGCCAACGCAATTTCCTCAATGGTGAGCCTTCGGACAGACGCACAGAACCTGGTGTTTGGTGGCGGAGCTGTTTTTGTACATGGCTGTCTTTCTTGTACCGTCTCACAGCTCTGACTTCGCCAATAGAGTATCAGAGGAATCACGTCGGGGCCGGCGTGGGAGCTCAGGGCGGAGGTGTTGGTGCTGTGTCACCTGGAGTCGGGATCTCTCAGCCCAGCTCCGCCCCACCAGGACCGCAGAGCGTCTCCCGGCGGCCCTCCAAGATCCCCCAACCTTCTCGTCTACCCCAGCCCCTCCGTCACCTCGCCGGGGCCGACGTGGAGGGCCCCAACAAGATGTTAGGTACGGAACGTCGCCCCTTTTGCTCGGCCAGCTTTGTTTTCATGGCACATTGAAGGTTGTGACTGAGGTGTGAGTTTTGCTCGGTTGTGATCCAGGTTTGTCCCCTCGTCCCGTCCCTGCTACCCCGCTTCCTCCAGGGGGCAGTCCGCAGGGCAAGCGTCCCTCACAGACTGCAGAGGACCAGACACACACGCAGACCCTCACACCCGCCAACCCTGTAACCCCTATTCCTCGTGCCACAGTGGGGCCTCTGCCCTCCACGCCAACCTCCAAACCACGGCCCGGAGCCGTGTCGCCAATCGCCCCAACTCTGGCCGCACCCACCTTTGGAAAGGACGCTCTTCCTCCTCCCCCTCCCAGCCCAGGGCAGAAGACTGGACCTGGATTTTGGTGCTCTATGCCGGCCTCTCCAGCCAGCAGGCCTGGCTCCTTCACCTTCCCAGGAGAGGCGGCAGAGACCCCGGCCCGTCAGCCGGGGGTTCAGGCCCACAGACACTCCACGCACAGCAAAGAGGCTGACCGCATGAGCACATGCTCATCTGCAAGCGAGCAGTCCATCCAGTCCACCCAGAGCAACGGGGTAAGACCTCTAGCTGCGGCCCACGGCTGATTCCACTAACACAGAGGCCGAGGGAAGCCTGGCGTGTCCTGCTGCTGCCAGCAGTACTAATCTGTTCCCCACTAAGCATCTCTGACAATCTTCTCCACTCTTCAGCATCACGCTCTGTAGCTTTAGATCATTTCTCAAGACAAATTCCCTTCAAAGGTTTCAACCTCCGTGCTTTTGTCCTCACTCTTCCTATGAGAGGCTCTTCACTTGGGCTTTTTGTTTCCTGACTTTAACTCTACCGAAGCTCAAACTAACAACCTTCCTTCCTCTTGGCTGTGTCTCACCAGCTGCTGTCTTCATGGTGTGTGACTGCACTGACTTTACCTGCAACTAACCTCTGACGTTTGTGGTTCCTCCACAAATGTACTCAGATCCTTTCATTCAACCTAACGCATTTCGTCTCATCTTTGCCCGGAGCTGCAAAGACGATTGCAGAGGAAATCGTCTTACTGCACCGTTTTTAGTCGCAGGAAAACAACAAACCTTGTGCAAAGCCTGGTTTTGTTAAATACACTGTGATTTCTCACCCCCCGTCTCCTCCCTGTTGCACAGAGTGAAAGTAGCAGCAGCAGTAGCGTATCCACCATGTTGGTGACCCAGGACTACATGGCTGTGAAGGAGGATGAGATCAGCGTCAATCAGGGTGAAGTTGTCCAGATCTTGGCCAGCAACCAGCAGAACATGTTCCTGGTGTTCAGGGCGGCTACGGAGCAGGGCCCCGCTGCCGAGGGCTGGATCCCTGGATTCGTGCTGGGACACACCTCCGCCATCGTCCCTGACTCCTCCGACGGGCCAATCAAGTAAGAGATTGGTTCGCCATTCCTTAGGGTCCAGTCGTACTGCGTTTGGTACAGCTTTCACCAGAAACTTGCTAAACTCAGCTATGGCAGTCCGTCGGCACAACCATGTTTTTGCTAACATTGTGTTACCATGTTTTTGTGTTAAAGTGAGAATATTATGAAAAATCGACTTTTTTGTTTCCTGACTTTTTTAACTCCACTGAAACTCAAACTAACAACCTTAATACAGGAGTGATGTTGTGATGACTTCCTGAAGGCGGAGTTTCATAAAGAGCAGGAATTTTTTTAAAGAAACAGAGGCCCAACTTCAAGAAGTTAAAACAATAACATGGTTAGTTGATAGTGCTATAAAGCGCCTCTTTATACTTAGAAAATACACGATAGTCCCTTTAAAAGATGCTGACAAGCCTAGCTTATTCCCTCCACGCTATCACTGTCACTTGTGTTTAAAAAATCCTTTTTAAAAGAAACAACACTTTTGTGAACTAGACTGGCAGCCTGCCAGTCTTATTATACACTGGGGGGAAGCCCTCCATTTGGTACCTGAGTTTCCAACAAACATGGGGTCTTCTTGTTCTTGACCTTTAACACTTGTCTCATTGCAGCAGGAAGTCTTCATCTTGGCACACGTCTCTTCGAATACGGAAGAAGTCTGAGAAGAAAGACAAGGAGGTGAAGAAGGAGACCAAGCTGGAAAACGGTTACAGGAAGTCCAGAGATGCGATGGCCAATAAAGTTTCTGTAAAGGTGACTTCCTGATTCACTGACCAATCAGTGTAGAGTTGTGATTTCTTTCTTTGTCTGACTCCACCGTTTGTGTTCACAGCTTCTAAATCCCAACTACATCTACGATGGTAAATATTGACTATTGACTCGGAGTTTAGAATAAATTGATTCAGGCAGCTGTAACCTGTGGATTAATTAAAGCTTTAATTTTTCAAACCAGCCCCCCCAGACTTTCTGGTCCCTCTGAGTGACGTGACATGTGACAACGGTGAGAGCGTCACCTTACGTTGTAAGGTTTGCGGTCGACCCCGCGCCACCGTCGCCTGGAGAGGACCAAACGAGAGCAACCTCACCAACAACGGACACTTCAGCATCGCCTACAAGTACGGAAACGACGCAGCCTCGCACAAGTCTTCACACCTTATTCACGTCTTTTAAAGTATTTTATTACGACTTAAAGGAAAAACAGTTGCATTATTGTGAACTAGACTGGAAATGAGAAATCGTTTTAAGCCTTTTAGTATTGACCCCCCTTTACTTCAAATACACGTCACTATTTGGAAAATAATACAAATGTAGAAAACATTTGTGATTTTCCCCGATTGTTCACCATTTCTTAATATCTCCTAAAATACATTAAAGTTTGTAAATTTTGAGAAAACGTGGAGTTCAAGCAGTACGAATGTGTCGAATCAGTCGGCTCAGATTCAATCAGATGCAGGAAGTCGGTTCTTTGGAAGCGTTGCTGTAAAAATCCATTTTCCATTCTAGCGACGCTGGTGAAGCCACGCTGCGGATAATCGGCGCCGCCTCAGAGGACGACGGCGTTTACACGTGCGTGGCGACCAACGAGCTGGGCAGCGTGACGTCCTCCGCGAGCCTCAGAGTGTTGGGTAAGAGCGTCAAGCGATGACGGCGACCGGCGGGCGTGTGACGGGCGCCGTGTGTGATGCAGGTGTGTGTCTTTTGCTTTCAGCCGTGTCCACTGATGGACTCAGAGTGAGCTGGAAGGACAACTTTGAGTCTCAGTACACTGAGGTGGCTGAACTGGGAAGGTAAGAGACTCGCCACCATATTCCCATCAGAGGAAAGTGTTTCACTGCAAATCTGTGTTTTGGCTTTGCCCCAAACTTTTCCATTCCACTTTCCCCTAAAGAGCGTTAACCTCTGTTGAGGAACGCTTTGCTACAAAATATGTAAAGAAACATCAACTTTTCGAATATTTTCTATTCACTATTCAATAGTTATTACATCCATTTAGCATAAGCGCTGCCTCATACCTTCTGATTTAGATGGTCATGAGTTGATATATTTTCACATAATCTTATAATCTCGTGATTATAAGAAAATGTGATTATTTGCAATATTATCAAATTTTATTTTATTCTCATAGTTCTTATGTTTTTTCTCCATTTCTTACTGGCTGTTGTACCTCGAGGAGCAAAGATGAATTTCAGCCAATCAGAAATAACATTGAAATTTATTATTTTAATTTGTATTTCATTAAAAAAAAAAAAAAACAAAAACAAGAAAACAGATTTTAAAAAAGCTCTAGATTTTTTTTTCTGTCTTCCCTCCATCTTTCTGAGGCGCCCCACAGCGCCACCTGGCGGCCCCAGTTTGAAAAACACAGCTTCAGAGGAGTTTTGAATCGAACTGTGTGCGTTTCCTGTCTGCAGGGGTCGCTTCTCTGTCGTCAAACGCTGCGATCACCGGGGCTCCAAACGGACGGTGGCCGTCAAACACGTCAACAAGAAGCTGATGAAGCGAGATCAGGTGACTCAGGAGCTCAACCTGCTCCAGAGGCTGCAGCATCCGCACATAGTGAGCCTGGTGGACACGTTTGAAACCTCCAGCAGCTACGCTATCGTCCTGGAGATGTGAGTGCCAGATACACAAAAACAGTTTTCATTTGGAACCTTCAACCTTTTTGATCTGTTGATGATTTTTCTGATTTCAGGGCTGATCAGGGCCGTCTGCTGGACTACATCGTGAGCTGGGGGAATCTGACGGAGGACAAGGTGGCCTCCTACCTGCGAAGTGTTTTAGAAGCTTTACACTACTTGCACAACTGCAGAATTGTGCATCTGGACGTAAAAGTACGTTTCTTAGCAGATTTAGTGACTCCCCTCAGCGTATCCATCCCTCATGAACGTTTCCTCACTTCCTTATGTTGCAACCACAAGAACTTGATTTGAACTTTTCACAGGATCATAAACACCTGCCCTGAGGCCGTTCCTTTCAAATCCACCTGTCATCATAGCTGGAAGTCTCATAATAAAGAATAAATGATGTGATTAATTCCCAACTTTTGCCCTGGCAGATAAAGTTTGTGAAGGATGAATTGATGGGTCACAATGTGGTTCTCTTCTTCTCTTGCTCCAGCCTGAGAACCTGCTGGTCGCCCACAACGCCAGCGCACAGCCCGTGGTCAAACTCACAGACTTCGGAGACGCGGTCCAGCTCAACAGCGCCCACTACGTCCACCCTCTGCTGGGCAGCCCCGAGTTCGCCTCCCCGGAGCTGGTCCTGGGGGAGCCTGTGTCGCTGACCTCCGACCTGTGGAGCCTGGGCGTGGTGACCTACGTGCTGCTGAGCGGCGCCTCCCCGTTCCTGGACGAGAGCGCCGAGGAAACGTGCCTCAACATCTGCAGGCTGGACTTCAGCTTCCCCAGGGATTACTTCCACGGCGTCAGCCAGGCCGCCAGAAACTTCGTCAGCCTGCTGCTACAGACCGACCCGGGCCGGAGGCCGCCGGCGGGGCTCTGCCTCCAGGAGCCGTGGCTGCAGGCCCCACCGGGGGACGGGTGGGGCCGCGGAGAGGGCTGCCTGGACACGGCGCGCCTCATCTCCTTCATAGACCGGAGGAAGCACCAGACGGACGCACGGCCCATCGGAGGAGTCCGGAGCTTCATCCAGAGCCGCCTTCAGTCTCGGATCTGAACGTGGCGGACACAGCAGGAAGCCTCCCCAGAGTTCCCACTGATCTGATCCTCCTTCACAACCCAGAATCCCCTGTAGTACTGCTGGAGCCCCAGAGAACATCACCAACCTGACAGAACGGATGCCCTCGTCTACTGCTGCTTGCTGAGATTTTCTAGTTTTAAACAAACAAAAATTTTAAAAAGGACGAATAAAATCATTATTATAGTAACTTATTTTCCTTGATGGGAGTCGAAGCTGATTTAGAGGAGCTGTCTGAACGAGCCTCGACGGGAAAAAAAAGTCGCCAAGGACCGGCACGGACGTTTGTTTATTCTTTTACACTAAAGCTATACCTGACACTTTGCAGAAGCAGCTCTATCTTATAGAAACGATATATTTAAGAAAAACACGCGAAAGAACCGTCTGTTTCTTTTAAAGTAAAAAAATAAAAATAATAAAATGTTGAAAGTTGGCTGTGCTACTTCAGATGTTCTGCTTATGAAACCCATCGTCATCATCATGAGATGCCATGTTGACCATGCTGCGTGCGCCGCCGCCGCCGCCGCACCGTCCAAACCCCCAGGAGGAACGGCGCCCCCTGCAGAACAAAAGCTGCGCTGCGCAGATAGCGACATGTTCAAGCCTTACCTTGTAAATAGACTTCTGCCTTCTTCCCTCTCACATTCACGACGGACTCCCGCTTTCAGGACGTGGGGCCGACAGAGCCTCGGTGGCGGCTGCAGGTCGCCAGGGAAACCAAGTGAATGTGGGAAGCCCAGGAGGAGAAACTTTTGTTTTTGTTTTGGTTTCTTTTTGTTGACGTTCTTTTTATTTTTTCTCTGTAAATGCACTCACCGTACGTTCTGTTTGATTATCATGTGCAATGTTGCGGCTTTAAACATTTTATGCAACTATTTATGAAGACATCTGTTGTATCTGTAATAAATCTAGAGAAAAGGATGTACTTGGTACTGCAGGCACTGCTGGTAGTTTGTGTTGTTGGCTGTTCCAGGCCTCACTGGGGTCACGACCTACAATCATGTGGTTCATGTCAAGGAGTTCGGTTTGATCAAAACTTAATTTAACACGTTTTGTACTGTATGCCTCTGTAGTATTGGTTCACCAAAGTTGCTCTAGCGTTATAGTACTTAGGAAAAAGGTTTTATCAGAGTATGTTTAGGTAATCAGAGACCTTTTTTGAAAAGATTGTTTACAAAGGTAAAACACGAGGAGTGGTGGGAGGAACGCATTCTTAGTTTAGTCTCTTTTCCTTTTTAAATAGGCAGGAGGCTGGAGAACAGAAAGTAGCTCTTATTATTAACTCAATGAATTAGGAGTTAAATGGTCTTATTTCCTTAATTGTCTTCTTTCTCGCTGCCAAAATATTTCTTCCATAAATTTCTCGCATAAACTATAAAAAAAAAAAACTCCCTGGAAGCTCACCAGAACATTTCTGGAAGCGAAAGTAACAAACGTTGATAATGAGGGTGAGACGAGCCCTCTGTTAGCTTTTTTTTTTTAATTATTATTCTTATTTATGTGATATAATTGTGCACAGGCCGTTCAAAACAAGGAAACTTGGACTGGATACCTCAGTTTTAGTTTTTCCACCCTTTATTTTTATTTTTTGCATTTGTTTTTATTTACATGTTGCAGCCACATGTTTGTTTTTTCCCCTTTTTTTTTTACTTTGCATGTATATTTCTTTGTACAGCTCATCATATTCTCCCTTGTAAATATTCTCATTTTGTCATCAGTTATTTGAAAATTAAACATAATGAACAAACATGATTTTGCTTTTTTAAACTATTTTGTTGCAACAGAAGCACTTCCTGTAGTGCATCATTTTCTCAGGGAAACTCAAAGCAGTGAATAAATAGTATGATTTTCTATACAGCTGCCATTATTTTGGCGAGGCTGAATTACACACACAGACTCTGCTGGAAAATCTTTAAAGATTTAAGTGTTTTCCACTTTTAAAGCACATTCAAGTCTAAAAAAAACCCAAATGCACGTGAACAGTGTCTGACATTTTAAAGGGACGCAGAATTAAAATCAACAGAACCAGAACCTTGGAGCGGCTGGAATGATCTGAATGTTTGAAGCTTGTTGGGGAAAAACTTTTTTGTTCTGAAATCAGGTTTAAATCAAATCAAATTTTATTTTTATAGCATCTTTCATTCCAAAGTGCTTTTCATCGTAAAAACACAAAAATGCAAAGTCATAGAACACATAGTCCACATTACACTTTGCACATCTGATTATTAATGTTTCTTGATTGGGTTTCAAAAGCAACTGAACAAGTGGGTTTTTAGTCTAGATTTAAAAGAACTAACTCAGTGTTTCAGCTGTTTTGCAGTTTTCTGGAAGTTTGTTCCAGATTTGTGGTGCATAGAAGCTGAAGGCTGCTTCTCCATGTCTGGTTCTGGGGGATGCAGTTCTGTTCCAGTTCGAAGCGGTGTATGTTAACCACAGATGCTCCCAGATACATATGTTTGGCGTTGTGGTGGTCAGAGTGTGCCAGCATCAGTTTTAATTACAAGTTCACACACTTACATGCATAAACATATATATATATATATATATATATATATATATATATATATATATATATATATATATATAAAAAAAAAAAAATTCCCTTCTCACCCACCGCGGGTGGTTCTTATCCTCTGAGCTCGGGTCCTCTACCAGAGGCCTGGGAGCTTGAGGGTTCTGCGCAGTATCTTGGCTGTGCCAAGGACTGCACATTTCTGGACTGAGATGTCTGATGTTGTTCCTGGGATCTGTTGTAGCCACTGCTCCAGTTTGGGGGTTACTGCCCGAGGGCCCCGATGACCACAGGCACCACTGTGGTCTTCACCTTCCAGGCCCTCTCCAATTCCTCCCTGAGGCCCTGGTATTTCTCTAGTTTCTCGTGCTCCTTTTTCCTGATGTTGCAATCACTTGGTATTGCTACATCTACCACAACGGCTTTCCTCTGATGTTTTCCACTACGACAATGTCTGGTTGGTTCGCCATTACCATTTTGTCTGTCTGGATCTGGAAGTCCCACAGGATCTTAGCTCTGGTGTTCTCTACCACCTTTGGGGGTGTTTCCCACTTTGATCTCGGGGTTTCCAGTCCATATTCTGCACAGATGTTTCTGTAGACTATGCCTGCCACTTGGTTATGTCGCTCCATGTACGCTTTCCCTGCCAGTATCTTGCACCCTGCTGTGATGTGCTGGACTGTCTCAGGGGCCTCCTTGCACAACCTACACCTTGGGTCTTGTCTGGTGTGGTAGATCTGGGCCTCTATTGCTCTGGTGTTTAGGGCCTGTTCCTGGGCGGCCAGGATGAGGGCCTCTGTGCTGTCCTTGAGTCCAGCTTTTTCCAGCCATTGGTAGGATTTACTGATATCAGCCACTTGGGTTATTTGCTGGTGGTACATCCCATGTAGGGTCATACCATGATGGTATCTCTGGCACCTCAACCTCCGTTCCCTGTTGTCTGAGACATTCACTGAGCACATTGTCTGTTGAGGCTTTGTCCCTGATGTATTTATGGATCTTAGTTGTTTCGTCCTGGACAGTGGTTCTCACACTCACTAGTCCTCTGCCTCCTTCCTTGCGGCTCGTGTACAGTCTCAGGGTGCTGGATTTGGGATGGAACCCTCCATGCATGGTTAGTAGCTTTCTAGTCTTAATATCTGTGGCTTTTATCTCCTCCTTTGGCCAGCTAATTATTCCAGCAGGGTATCTGATTACTGGCAGGGCATAGCTGTTTATCGCACGGATTTTGTTCTTGCCATTGAGCTGGCTTCTCAGGACTTGCCTTATTCGTTGGAGGTATTTAGCTGTGGCTCCTTTCCTTGTGACCTCATCGAGGTTGCCATTTGCTTGTGGTATACCTAGGTACTTGTAACTGTCCTCTATGTCTGCTATTGTTCCTTCTGGGAGTGAGACTCCTTCTGTGCGGATCACCTTCCCCCTCTTTGTGACCAGCCGACCACATTTCTCTAGTCCGAATGACATCCCAATGTCAGTGCTGTAGATCCTGGTGGTGTGGATCAGTGAGTCGATGTCTCGCTCACACTTGGCGTACAGCTTGATGTCATCCATGTAGAGTAGGTGACTGATATTGGCCCCATTTTTGAGTCTGTATCCGTAGCCAGTCTTGTTGATAACTTGGCTGAGGGGGTTCAGGCCTATGCAGAACAGTAGCGGGGACAGAGCATCTCCTTGGTATATGCCACATTTGATGGACACTTGTGCAAGTGGTTTGCAGTTGGCTTCAAGGGTGGTTTTCCACAGCCTCATCGAGTTTGCAATGAAGGCTCTCAGAGTCCTGTTGATGTTATACATCTCTAAGCATTCAATGATCCAAGTATGCGGCATTGAGTCATAGGCTTTCTTGTAATCAATCCAAGCCATGCACAGGTTGGTGTCGGGTTTTGCAGTCTCTGGCAACTGTGCGGTCTACGAGGAGTTGGTGTTTGGCTCCTCTGCTATTTACATATATTTATATATATATATATATATATATATATAAGTGTTGTGTGTGAAAAGCTGAGAACATGACTGATCATATGTTGTAGCTCTAATAACAGAAAAACAATGAGTGACTGAATATCAATATCCAATCATTCTGCTGCTGTGTTGTTGTAGTGCAGTGTTTGGCCAGCAGAGGGAGCTGTGTGCACGTGAAGACCTGAGAAAAGGAAGCTCTTGATAAAAGTATTGTCCCTGAAAGGCTGCGAGGCTTTATGTTACTTGAGCTCACCTCCATTACTATAACGGGAGGAGATGATTCATTATTTCTGATGCAGATAGAAATGTTGTATCTGATAGTACAAGGTTACATTTGTGCGACAGCAGACACGCCTCGTCACCAGGCGTTTGCTAATTGCTGCTGGCTAGTCTGAAGGAGCTAAATGTGGGAGTTGCTCTTTGAGCCAGAAGGTGGGAAGCTTGGAAACAGCGTCTCTGAGAAGGAGGAGTATAAATCCAACCAGGCATTTCGCACAGCTAGATGGTTGCTACGGGAGGATAAATGATTTCTCAAACATACATGAAGGAATCAAGATTAAGGAATAAGACTATGACACGATGTAATTCTCAAAAGTTGTTCTTGAATAATACTGATCCCTTTAAAACCATGTGTAATTTGATCTATCTATCAAATGAAATCCCAACAAAAAAATAAATAAATCTGAGTTTGTGTTCACAAACACGTACAACAATTAAAGAGAGTGAAGGCACACGCTGCACTCCGATCAGAACTCCTTCTTGCCCGGAGTCGTGTGGGAGGAGATTAACACATAACAGATTGAGCCAGGTTTGGTTTATAGCAATTATATCTTTTATTCTACTTTCCAATAAACAGAGAATATATCAGTCCCTTATTTGTACAAAAATACCTGAACAGGATACAATGTAGATCCAGGAGTTGCAGAGATAAATATGAAGCAAAGCCATGAGGGGTTTGAAGAAGAACAAAAAATATATATATAGTTTTTATTTTTTCCTTAATTCCCTGAAATGTTTTATTTTGACTTCAGCTTATGTCGATTTCAACCCAACAATAACACTCAGCCAACTCGTGATTTATTTACTTTTTTTTTCCCATTTACTTGCACACAACGGGGTCGTGGAGCTGATGCTGACCTGAACGCTCCAGTAAGGTTCGCTTCACGGCCCCCAGCTGACGGCGCGTGAACGCAGCGTTTGGACGGCTGGCGGTTAAAGGACTGTCACTGTGTGATAAGAGGCACCTGCTGAGAAATTTAGTCAAGAAGAAACAGGATCTAAGAAGTTAGTTATGCACCTTAAAATATGAGTATACGGATATATATATTAAAAAAATCCTCTCGAGCTACAACTCATCTTTGAACTACTTGTAGTGAAAGGTGTACAAAAGCTACAACTAAGACCACCATGGGATAAATGGCAATGCGTGTGCTCTCGATGGAACCGCGCCACGGACCGATAAGTGGAACATCATAAACATTTATGAGAGATGAGATGGAGTCGGGGGGATGAAACTTAAAAAAAAAAAACAAAGAAACAAAAGAAACGGGGACTTTACAAGATGTGGCTTTAGAGTCGGACACTCTGACAGCCGGTCAGCTTATATGCACTAATGTTCAGAAAATAAGATCCAGTTTGATCACAAAAAAATAAAATAAAAAAATTAATACTGTATATACTGCGGTGCAGACGGCAGACATGTCAGCATACACACAATCAAGTAATCAAAGAAAAAGGACAACACACATCGATAAATCTGCCTTAAATTTACGGTATTACGAGTGAAACCATAACACCCCATACATAGTGATCTGTGACCTCGGTACAGTGTTAGATCTACGTCTCCATAGCTTCATATACTTTAGAAAACATCCGTCACTTTTAACTTTGTATGTCAAAACACTTGGACTTGTGTGAGGGCAACATGGCAGCGCGGCGAGGAGGAGGAGAGGACGGCGTGGGGTTTGTGTTGCTCCTCTCAGACGGTCGATTAAGATTCACAGATGAGCGCTGGGAATGCTGGGAAAACTGGGAAGCGGCGCTTTGCTATAGTATTCACACTCCTTTAAACTTGGACTTCTTTTGCCACGGTGCAGCGGGAAATAGACGGATGCAGGCGGTTTGGTCAGTGGAGACTGAAATTAGAATTTTTGGCCTGGATGAAAACGCAGCCGGCGCTACAACAGAACCGGTGTTCAAAATGAGGCCCGCGGGCCGATGGCAGACCACAATTCTGGATTGAATTAGGACAAAACTACAACTTTTAAATCCAAATCTACTTACAAAAATGTTCAATTCGATACAAAGGAACAATGTTTCCCAATCTTTCCTGGGAGGTCCGTCTATCGTCATGGTAACTAGGACCACGTTGACCAAATCTACTTTTAATAGCTGCATTAAAACTTGGCCAAATACAGTAAGTTTTTCCAAAACAAGCAATACTGATTTTATTACCGAGACGAGGCGGAATAGTTTTTTTTCCTCAATTGAACCCAAAATAATGAGCAAACTGGATTCAGAAACAGTTTTGGATCACCAAAAACAAAATTATAATTTTTTGTTTAATTAGAACAGTTCATGCTTAGTTTATTGATGAGAAGATGAAAAAAAAAAACATTTTTGGTGTAAATTACGTATTTTTTGGCTCTCCGTTACTTTTGAGCTCATAATTTTGGCCCAGGAAACAAAATTTACTATGTCCCAGTTTAAAGTTCAGATCTATAAAAAAAATCTAACATTTGTGACGGTACGTTTCAAAGTGTGAATACTTTTGCCAGGGCTGTGCTTCCATACAAACTCCCGACTTCTCTGAATCTTTACCTTCTCTTGATCTCAGCCATCTGACAAGCAGTGCTCCTCTAACTTGTCTATAAAAAGAGGATAGTAAATAGTTTTGGCATTAAAATATGCCAAACGGAAACATTTTTCTACACGTTTATGAAATGATAGCTTACTGGCTGGACATAGATGGGTGGAGCAGGATGTGGGAAGGCCTGACCAGTGGAGCTCAGAGCTACTCAACCGGAGTTCAGCCGACTGGTGAGTTGTGGATCAGTGACAAAACTCAGCATCTATTTATTTTTGGCAAGGTGTCCTCTCTCTCTCTCTCTCTCTCTCACACACACACACACACACACACACACACACACACACACACACACACACACACACACACACAAACTCGTGCACGCTAACTATAGTTCTCTTTCAGGAGGCGGAGCATGAACGTGTTATCTCCTCAAAATCCCCCCCCTAAAAAAAAGTCACAATTATGGAAGATAAAATCCGTCAATAGAAACGTTTGTTCTGACATCTGAGATGAATTACAGCAACAGCACAGATTTTACCGATTCACTTCACGTTTTGCTCTTGGCCACGCCTTTCTTAGCAACTTCCCATAGTGTCTTTTTCAGTGTCTTCCATAAATTGTGTCCATAATACAAAGCAAAACAAAACAAAAAATTAAAGTGAACTTCTATGAAGCTACAGAAGCTTGCTACATTTTACGATGGTCTCGTCTTTCTCGGAGTAATTCATGCCGGTTTTATTTCGATTGGGTTGGGTTTTTTCTAGTGACCTCTGGTGTTATTGTTTTGACTGACGTGTGGCTGTGCGATCCTCCGATGCGTTCAGCCTGTGGACGGTTCGCTCAGAAAATGTTTTGTAAAAAGACCTGAACCAGGCAGGAACTTCATCCAGACTGCCCTCACATAAATACATGACGAAAACCGTCACATTTGGCTTTTCTGCTAAACCAACAACAACAACAACAAAACTTTTCATGCGTTTCTATATAATTATAGGGGGAGATTAAACTGTTTTTGACAGTGATTTTGCAGAAATACACATATGAACAATATCAGAAAAAAAGAGGCTTTAGTCTTTGAATTTGTGGAACTTGAAACAATGTTTTGAAGAAAAAAAAAATCCTATTAGGATCTTTGCTAAATCTGGATAATGTGACATTTTTTTTCTGCACGCATTAAGACCAGGAAGGTTTACAAGGGTTGTATTTTGCTTTAAAACAGGTCTAGTTAAAGTTTACATGCACAGCAATCTTCCATAATATGGACAATTCCAGTGTTCATGAGTAATAATCGTAATAACTCAGATTTTATTAAGCCCTTTCACAGACAGATGGATTTTTCTCATGCATCTGCTCTAGATCCTCCTTTAGCTCATCCAACAGGTCGTCTGGAGAATAAGATAACTGCAGGACAGAGCGTTATTCTTCTTTATTCTGGTCTATCATTTCTGTGGTTTATTTTTTCATCGAAAAGGTCCAGGTGATCAGGATGAAAAGGAGCAGGCCCACAGCATCACAGATCCTCCATCTTACCCAACTGCAGGCAGACTGATTCCACATTTTCATGCCGATCCTACTTAGTTTTTGCTCAGTGAGCTCACCATGTGTGCTCCTCACTTTTACGTTAAAGATGGTAGAACATAACTTCAGTCAGAATTTTAACTTTTTGTTACTCTAACCATAGATATATATATATAAAAAATCCAGGCAAGTGGTTTTAATGTAGCCGTTTTCTCGCTCGTAAAGTGAAGGCAAAAAGGCTGGTGATTAAAGAAGTCCAAAAGTGCCCAAATTTCATAAACAATAAATCATCTAAATGGTTCCTTAAATATGTTACCATCTTTAACAAATACATGAAAAACACAAAAAATAATTTATAAAATCTATAATTTAACAAACCGAACTCTAATGTTTACAATTTGAATACGTTTTTTTTTTTATCACCAGTTCATTTAAAGGACAGCAGCTCTTTCTAAGTTGTTTTCAATGGGAGCCTTACCATCAAAATAAGTGGGTGGGGCCAACATTGCTCTCAAGAAGACGATTGGTTTGAAGTTTGTGCAAATAAACCAATCACACAGTATGTGACAAGAGCCAGAAAATTTTAAAGGTTTTTTTTGTCCCGCAACAAATAAACCATGAGAAAACTTAATAAATACTTAAATAACTATTTTTAAACAGATTTCAACTAATTTTACATAAATACCTTATGTATTTAAAAACAATTTGAATGCTATGGGAAACAGTTTTTTTTTGGTTGAAGGAATAATAACTTATCGAATTATTTATTTATTTACGACATTTTTGGCAATTTTGGAAATCAATACCCAACATGTCAGCCTTCCATCAGGAAACCATCTAATCTGGGTTAATAGAAATATTGCAGTGCATGTAAACAAACCCATTGTCATGTGGGTCCTGTTAGTTTGACCTAACTTATTTTAAAATCTACAACCCTATAAATTTGTGGCCTAAACTTCAAGACTGTAGACAAGATGATTGCTTGTACGGTAAATATGAAGCTGTGATCTTTTGTCAATAAAAAAAACAAACAAACATGAGGGATGTGGGTAAAAATTCAGGACAAAATAATTTTGACAATCAAGATAGCACAAGCACCCAGAAACTTAGCTCTGGGGGAAAAAAAACAAAAAAACAACTCCTAATTTATATTTTTAAAAAACAAAACAAAAACGTGAATGCTTTTTCATTAATGTGTAACTTAAATATCAGTTTATAATCTCAGAGTAAAATTCAAGCTTTTGTTCAACTAAAATCTCAAATTATTTTTAATAAATTTACAAACGCAAAAAAAAAAAAAACCATATTTAGCTAAAAGTGGCAAAAAAAAAAAAAGCAACAAAGATAATTTCCCAAAATCTAGCGCTATCCCTCGACATACTGGTTCACATAGTCGCTTCCACCGCCTTCAAATCACAAACGTCTCACTGTATGTGCATTTTAAGATCGCTTCTTCAATTTCATACGCATGGCTCATCGTTTTCACTTAAGGCAAGTGAAGCTCAGTCGACGGGACGACCAGGTTCACATTTCAAGTCATTTGTTCAAATTCCATATTTAAAGTTCAAAACAAAACGAAACCAAAAAAAAAAAAGTTACGAGAGTGCTTTTGTTGCTTTGTAGGAGGGAACAGTGGTCAGGATCCGAGCGGGAAAAGCTCCAACCACAATCAGAATGATTCAAACGTGCAAGCACTGAACTCGGATTAGACTCAGGAAAACATTCAGAAACAGGTTCACCGACAAACATAACCCTTTTGATTAAAAGAAAAGAAAAACAACAAAGAAACGGTAGAAGTTTGGGGGGCTGGACACTTTTCAGGAGTCTATAAAATTAGTATTCTTCCTCCTCCTCTTCTTCCTCAGAGTCTCGAGGAGCTGCAGCTGTTTCAGGAGCACATTCATTAAATCGCGGTGGTGTTGATGTTGACGACGCGAGCCACACCAGAGGTTTTAAGACGCTCCTAAACCTCTGATGGGACCTGCATTATGGGCTGGTTCTCCGCCTCACACGCCGCCGCCGTCCAATCGGAGCAGGCGGAGTCGCATGCGCGCGCCTTTTGCAGAAACAGAGCGGAGGAGAAAAAGGAGGCGGCTTCGCTTTAGCCAGAGAGCTGCTGCCTGTCCGCCCAGGAGTGCAAAACTAGTTCTGCATTGAATTGACATGAATAAAAAACAGCATTAAATGACATCAAGTAATTAACTCTACAAGAGAGGCTTGTTACGGCCTTCCTGATTAAACATTCCTCTGTCCTTTTTTTTTTTCTTTTTCTTTTAAGCGAACCCTCGCCATCGCCGCTGCTCAGCTCGTCTCGCCTTTGGCCGCTTCTTCCCTCCCTCTGTCCGACCGTCCGTCTGTCCATCAGTCTGTCCCAACCGTTTGAGCTTCCGTGGAGGCGACCGGATTGGCGGTTGCACCAAAGTGTGTGGAGTTAGAAGGGGGTTGTGGACACATCACATCCAACCCGCTAACGTGATGAGGAGAGAGGGACGGGGGTGTCAGCTTATCCAGACTGGACTGCACAGGTTGAGAAACTCCTGGATCCGGTTTTCAGTCAGAGCCAGCGAGGTTCCCGTCCATCCCTGATAATCAGTGAGGAAGTCAGAGGGTGGCGCTCCCTGCGGGCGCCACAGCTTATCCGGCCTGGAGGGGGGGAGGGGGGGTTTGGGAGATCATTTCGAAAGACCCTCAAACACTCCTGCTGTAAAACGTGTCGCTTTAGTGGTCTTGCGTTTTCACAACTTTTTTTGGCGTTTGACGAACCTACCGGACCCTCCGGGGGAAACACAAAAAAGAACAACAACAAAGGGACGTCGCTGGAGCCGGACAAAGCTATCGCCGCAATCCAAATGGCGGTAAGGCGGAGAAAAACCCCACAAACCAGGTGCCGGAGCCGAGTCCGCTCCCAAAAGCCCCACAGCCTTCTGCTTCTTCTTCCTCTCTTTCTCCTCAACCCTGCCTAGTCGGTGAGGGAGCAGGCAATAGGGGGAAATCTTCTGATGTGCAAAAAAAGTGGGGGGAGAGCTGTGTCGGGTGGGTGAAGTGTCACAAGGCCACAGCGGTGCAGGGGTGTTTGAGCTTGCAGGGCAGCACTCCTCTGTTGAGCTGGTAGAACTCCACCAGGTGGATCAGGTCTGTGAACTTGGTGGCGCCGTCGTCGAGGCTGAAGAAGACTTGGCCGTCCTCCTCGACCTGTGGGGCAGGAGCACAGGCGCCGCGCGTCTGATCAAAAGTCCTCCAGCTGCCGGAGTTTCGATTTGTTTATTCATGCAGGCGACAAACTTATCTGTGTCATCTTGAAATGACAAAAACCAAAAGCCGTTTTTTTAGCTCGAGGAAAAGGAGCTTGAATCTTTCTCATAAATGTTTTTTTTTTGTTTGTTTTAGGTCAAATCTTTAAAATATATGAGATTATATATTTTAAGCAGAAAAAAAATGGAAAAAAAACAATCTCACAATTGCCGTTGTCCAATTGAATAAGACGCACAATAAAAATTACATGTGAATAAGTTTTTTCACGCAGCAAGTCGTTAAAAAACACACCGCGCCATCATCCTCCAATCACTTCCTGTGTTTGTTTGTGGTTTGCGTCAGTGGTAAAGGCCGTCTGTTGATCATGCGACTCGTGTGAAACGATAGAACGCGTTTCGATTTTGGTACAAATGCCAAAACCATGGTGTCAGAATTGGACAAACAAAAAAAAACAATGTTTTTCATCTTCTGTCATTTTAATTGATTTACTTTTTCTGCAACAATGTAAAACACCTGGCTGACATTTACTGTCGTTTTTATCAGGAGTGTGCTGCTTTGCTTCACTGACCGGTAGGATCTGGAAGTGCTTGATCTTCTGGTGGTGGCACAAGGTGAGCACGAAAGCCTTGGGATTACTCTGACTGTCCCGCAACAGGAACAACCTGACAGGAAAGTGGACAAAAGAAAAAAATAAATACTTACGTTTTCAGTAAAAAAAAGGTTTTACACACTGACTAATGCTTGATGCTGCCAAATCAAAGAGAACGCAATGCTTTTCATGACAGCAGTGGGGAAATATTGAAATATTTCCTTGCTTATCTTGGTACATTTCATAAAACATCTTACTTTTATGAACAATCTGTGAACTCACCCATCTACTTGGCCTTGTTGTATAATCATTTTGTGGGCTTCCTCTCTCATGATGCGACCGTGGAACCACACCTGTGTCCTGTGGATGACTGGGAGGACAAACAAAAATGTGTGTGACTAGGAGGGGGTTTGGGGGAAGGCCGACAGGCAGACTGGTGTTGGTGGTTTCAGTGGGAGTACCTGTGTTCATAGAGGACGGGTGCAGGGGGCTGGGGCTGCCCAGGACATTCATACGGTGGGTTCTTTTCTATAAGAAGAAAAATCGAACCCCATTAAGTACGTAACTAAAGGAGGGGTCACTCTTTGGGTTTTTACATGTACATCATCTAATAAACTGGATTCTCCAATACAGATATCTGAAGTCTGACAAAAATGACCTGCAACAACTATAATGTAAAATAAATAAAGCTTGATGTCGCTCAGAGAACTGAATAGATCTGCCGATAATGATGCATCTCTAGTTTTAAAGTTTATAACCAAAGAGAGCAGATTTAAATGATATATATATGGTTCAGCAAATTGAGTTTTGAGTTTCTTCCAACTATTCCTTTTCATTCAAAACTTTTGCTTATGTTCATTTTATCCTGCAAAAGAACATTTTTAGAAACAGACATTTAAATCCAGGATTTTGTGATAAATGCTTCAGGTGTTTCTATTTGTCTCTGAGTATTCACTTTCCTGACTCGGCACTACCTGCTGGAGAACGTCAAAGTGCAGGAATTACTGAGGCAGAGCGACATTAATCACTGTCAGAACAAAAAGTCCCGTCTGCGTCAAAGAAATCCTCCGCGGAGCGAGGAGGACGCGACCAGTAAACCCAGAACACGGACTTCAAGGCAAAATTACAAAATCTCAGCTTTTTGTTGTTTTCTAGGTTATAAACCTGCTCACCCTCCAAGTTTGTCCCTCCTCCAGGGCGGCGCTCTGGGCCTCCACGGGATTGTCGATGACGCGGCCGGTTCTTCCCGAGAAGTCCATGGCAACCAGCGAGTTCTCGGATACGCTCCGCTGTCGGGAGGAAAGGCGGAGGGCGTAGGGGGAGGGACGCACGAGAAACGGGGTTGAGTTGTAGTGATTGGAGTGGGGGGGAAGACAGGAGGGTAGAAAAAAGGGTCAGAGGTCAAACAAGCCAGACACAGTCACTGAAGCATGACAAATCCTGTCTGCACACAGACCCACTTTAGTCAATCCACAAATGTTCCTCTGAGGAAAAGCACAAGCCCGGATTTCTGACCGTACGGCTTGAATCGTCCACGTTCCCCTTCAACCTCAGAGGAAAAGCTTTTCTAACAGACAAATACCTCTTTTTTAAAAAAGAAAAAAAAATATTTCTGAAACTAAAGGTTTTTCTTGACATGAAATATGTTTGGTTTATATTTTGTGCTGACAAGAAAAAGCTCCAAAAACTGTGAATCAAACTAAATGTCAAAAATTGTAGCATTTATAACCTACTTCTTAAACTTCTTTTTTTTTTTATTTTACAGGGTTTTTACGTAACAAACACAAACTGGGCTGTACCCACTGGTTTGTCTATCATGATAACCAATATACCAGTCAATAGCATGATAAATTAAAACAAGCTCTATAATTTCCATTCGCATAATTTATTGTTTTCTCTTATTTCTGTTTCCACCAAAGAAAAACTGGATGATAAAAGTCTTCAGTCTGCTGCTTTGGTCTTAACTATCCACTGTTTTGAGGGACAGTTTTGTTTACAGAGAGTTAAACTTTCATTTTATTCGTTGTTTGCCTTTTTTTTTTTTTGGATGCACTGTTTACATTAAATTAATACTTTTTATAGGTTTTTGTCTCATTTCCCATCAGAACCAAATTTTTGCACAACATTTGAACACCTTTGTGTTTTTTTCACTAATTTTCATTGTTTGTGCACTTCTGTTATCTGCAGTTCTTTATGTTTAATATAAATGCACATTATGTAGTTTTTTTGGGGGGCAAAATCCCTTTCTAAAAATTGCACAGCAGTTTTTGTTATAACCTTGTACAGTATATTATTGTTTAAAAACCTGTTGTGAGTAATTTCATATTGTCGCTCCACCTAAATTTCCTCTTTGAATAATAAATGCTGTTTCTATGTTCGTTTCCATTTCTAACTCAGCCAGTGATCTTTGAATTCAGTGAAGTAACTGTGTGACATTTTAATAAATGTTTCCTTTACGCCTTCGCTCCTCTGTCCCTCATGCACAGCGTGACAAATGTCTGGCCAGAAATGTTTCAACTAGCTCTGGTGGCCCGGGGTTTTGTTTTTCCTAGATCACAGTGAAGTGGTTCTTGCTAAGTAGGGAAACGTGACAGCTGGGCGGTTGATGGGACGACGGCAGAGAGGAGACGCTCACCACGGGCCCAGAGAAAGACGAGTTGTTAGCCTTCCTCTGCAGGGGCACATTGTAGTTCTGGTACAGGACAATCCCGTACTGCGGAGACGGCACAGGAGACGCAGTCAGATGTTAGAGCCGCGGACTTGGATCCAAAACAAATAAAAGAGTCGTGGTTACTTTGAGCAGTCGGAAGGCAGTCATCCAGCACGTCCTGCTCTGTTCGTCCTCGGCGCACAACATCTTGAGCTCCTTACAGTCACTCCTGGCTTTATTGGGCTGTCAACCAAGCAGAGGACACAGCGGGGTTTGAAATTAATGAGAAACACATTGGGAACACAAACACGGCCGAGTCCCGATTCCGCGGCACACAAAAGTATTCAAACTGTTATGTTTCATAACACCGGGGTCGCGCTTTAATGATCTCAATTTGAACGACGTGTTTTCAGAGGGAACAGGGATTTTGACAGCCTCTGTTATGAAATATCTCAGTCTGGAGAATTCAAAAGCTTCCCACAGTATCTTTAAAAAGAGATACTGTGGGACGCAACAGTTGATCGTTTTGTCACCGATATTTGATGAGCCCTGAAAAATGGCCAGTGAAATTGTGTCTGCTCATTAAATAGCAGATTTTATGTTATATGCATGTTTGAACTTGTTAGCTTCAGACCTTGTTGGTGATATTTTAGCTGGTTTCAATTATTTAAAAAGGTAGAACAAGTCAGCTGTCTTAACACAACCTATAATGTGAAGGTTGCACGTTCATCCGGCTAAAAACATGCATCGCTGCAGGTAGTATTGCTCCTGCAGCGATGCATGGCAACCATTTTGGATTTAGTGGTTGGTGTCGGTGGAAAACGTCCAGCTTTGCCACCTGAACAGGAAACTTCAGAGAGCTTCCGTGGATTTTTTTTCCCCCCAACTAGGAAATTTTGATTTTGAGAACAAAATTAGCTTCCAATAAGCCTGTCCCAATAGCTAATTGATCACACGATAAATTCAAAGGAGCCTGATCATTTTCTTTCTAATGAAGGATGTATTCAGAAGGGCAATTTTGTTTCGAGAGACTTCATAGTCCATTTTATTTATGGTTTCAGTTGTTCGGGATTTTTATTTCGGTTTGGTTGCTGAGTATTATTCTGGACATTTCAGATGTCTTCCAGATCCAGCTTTAAATGTTCTAAGCAAAATTAAAGTTTAATGGTCTCAGACAGAGCAAACTTGCATTATTTTTGCAGTTATCATTAAATGACTCAAAATGGTCTCGAAACAACAACATTATTGTTCATCTCAATAATTACTGAGAATTTATCGTCCAGTAAAAGTTACTGTGACAGGCCGAGCTTCCAATGAAACGAGATCAGAGCCAAAAATCAGGATTGTTTTGATTTCTGCAATTTGTTTTCATTGTCTATTGATGACAAAACATGACACTTTGGTGGTACTTGGGAAATGCACAAATCTATCACTTAAAACTTAGTTTTTGTCCAACCTAATTAAATGTACTTGCACTGAATTTTGGTTAGAAAGTGTTATGCCACGAAAGTGTTATGAGGACGTATTTACTTACACATCTTCAGCCTTTTCATAGTTTTTCATGACCAATAGAAACTGAGCCAAATGGTGGAAAAGGGGAAATATTTCCTCTTTTAAGGCAACCTTTGGATCCCCCAGCCCCCATCAAGTGTAAAAGAGTGCTGAAAGGTTTAGAGGGGGGCGACTTGCTCTTCCATCCAGAGCTTATCCCACTAGGCTTATCCCAGATCAGCAGGTGACCCACCACAGATAACGCGTGGAGCAGAGACTGTGTTTAACCCCCTGGTGGGCGGCGTTAACCCTCGTGTCCACTGACACAGATACACACATGATACCCTGTGAGCAAAGAGGGAGCAGAGTCTCTTTATTATGAAGGGGTGGCATTAAAGACCACAAGTTGGCGCCTGAACTGGGAAGTCTTTGAGATAAAGAAACGGCTCAGATCGCTAAACCAACCAACAACACAAATCTCTGTCAGAGGAGTCGCTTAGGATGGCAGAAAACATGCAGGGCATACCTTAATGCAGAACTGGAAATCTGCAGGGGCGTTGTGAAGCTTCCTCCCAGTGATGATGGTGTAAATGTTACTGTCCTCCAGATCTGAGAGCAGCTGCAGATGTCTGGGTTCCTGTGGGACAGAAAGAAAACAGATTGCAGATTATAAATGAAAAAAAAAAAGAAGAAAAAGTTGGTACACCATCTTATTATTTGACGATAAAAAAAACATGTTTCTCACCTTGGATGTTCCTTTAGTTGAGTAATAAAGGCCTGAGCGTCGCAGGAACATGTAGAGCTTCTTCCAGGACTTTCTTCCCGGCTCCTTTACGTACAGGAAGCCCTGGATCTCAGGACAGCTGCTGGAGTTCAGAAAATTCTAAAAATAAACATTAAAAGCAAAATTACATCAAACAAGAACAGCATGGATGGATTGCGCACATGATTAAATGGAGAAAATGAATCATAACGGCTCCCGTCCATTTTTGTATCAATACTTTTATTTTTACTTTTCCACTGGCAGAACATAAAGCTCTGCCCATCGAGCATGATGCTCTTTTTGTGTTGCTGATCCGCAGCAGAAGTAATTCTGCTATAATTGTCACGTTCATTTCCGCAGGTTTTTAACCTGGAATGCCTTTTGTCTGGTGTGCTGTCAGGATTGTAACTTCCTCATTTACAGAGTTTTTCAAAAATGTTCACACCTCTTGACCATTTTCTGTAGCAAGTTGCATTTGCTTCTAGACATGAAATTTTTCAATTTTATCTTGAAATAAGACAAAACTAACTTACAAGCGACTTTTCAGCAAGACGTAGTAACTTGCTTAAAATCAATAATTCCTTAATATTGATGAACAAGAGCTTGGCTCACTGGCAGACTGGACCAAATGTCTTGCCAAGATATTTGCACTAAAACAGTTTGAAAGTACAAAAGACTTGAAACTGGGGGCAAAGGTCAACAACCCTAAGTACAAATCCAGAAGTCAAATCATATTTAATTGTATGCTTGCATATTTTTGCACTGCAAAAACCCAAAATCGTACGAAGTATTTTTGGTCTGGTTTCTTGTAGAAGACATTTTTCTCACATTATAAATTAGGCAGATTATTTCACTTATATTTGGAACTTTTTCATCAATATTAAGAAATTATTGATCCAAAACAAGCTATTATAGCGTGAATAGTTACTTGTAATTTAGTTTAGTCTTTTTCCAAGTGTACTTTGTTTTGCAAATGGCTCAAGCTCTGACAAATGTAATAAAAAAAACTCTTCATGAGCATCTAATTTGAAGTATTTCCATAAATTCGGAATTGAAATTAGGGCTGGACTTTGACTAGGGCATTTTATCAGACCGAAAAAACACAAAATTTAACAAAGTAATTTTGGTCTGAACACCAAGTGTTTTGTGAAACATTTCAGATTCTCACAGCATTTAAAACACATCACTTTTGTTGATAAATTGGCCACTTCCTCACAAATGTGCAGTTTCTGGTGCTAGTTTGACACTTAAAACCACAGATAACATACATTTCTTTAGAGTTTGGGGTTGGAACGCGGCAAAATGAGAATCATTCCAGAGGTATAAAAACTTCCGCAAAGCAATCTGTGCATCCGATGAGATGCAAGTGATATTTACTGCGAATCTCTAGGATGTTAAATTAGTTTTTAACTTTTTAGCAGGTAACTTTCTCACCTGTAAGAGCTGTGACTGAGGGATCGAGCCGTCAGACTCATGACACAAAGCCACCATGTGCTCTGGAAAAAAGTTCTGGATGGGAAAGAAGGACACAAACCGACATGCTGACAATGGCTGTCAGAGAAAGGGACAAAGAAAGACACAGTCACCTGAAACCACTTAGAGCATGCAAGAGCTAAGAGAGGACAGCATCTCTTTTTACAGAATAGATCTATGCGAGTGTGTGTGCGTGTGTGTGTGTGTGTGTGTGTGTGTGTGTGTGTGTGTGTGTGTGTGTAATGGGCATGAGGGCTCAAATGCTAAGTGGTGGGAAGTGAAAGAGGGCACTCCAGTCTTGCAGTAGATGCAGTATGATCTCACCCGCTGATGTAATCCCCTTTAGCCAGCAGCGCCACTCTTAGCGTGATTGACAGGCTGCAGCCAGCACTCTGCTGTTTTACTGTGCTCATTACCACAGGGCTGAGATCACCTGCTGGCGCTGACACACACCTAAATCATCCCGCCAGTAATGTCATTCTATACAGCTGCAGAGAGCCCCCAGCTGAGTTCACATCACCAGAAGACAGATGCCATGCAGGGTAGCTAACACTGCCTGGCTGGCACCGGGTTCCTGAGACACGAAGGACTGCATGTCAAACTGCTGCGGTGCTTGAGTCAACAAAACCAAAGCAAAACAAAAAAGAAGGTTGAAAATAATTTTTGCAAAGGTGCAAACAGACATTGTGCAGCTTATTAAATGTTCTCCTCATTTTTTAAAATTATTTCAGGCTACATCGCTAACAAACGAACACTGTGCAGCTTTGATTTACTGGATCCGATTCTTTCGCTCCTATGTCTTTGCAGCAAATATCCACCCAGCTAATATGCTAAATTGTTTTGTTCATCATGAGAAAATCCAGTTAGAACTTAACATGTTTCAGTCACTGTGTTGTTAATATTCCCAAGCTTCCAGCTAAACAACGCTTACACATCTTATTTTATTTCTTATATTTGCATATAATGGACAAATATTTGCTTACTTGTAGTTTTTGTTTTTCATGCCAATTAAATGTTTCAGATCAAACTGGTTTTAGTATCAGACAAAGATGTTATGAGTAACTGAAAAAAACACCAAAAAAAATTCTGTTTTATTTGAAACTGGTTATAAATAAAGGTAAAAGATTTCTTTAAAACCAGAAAGGTAAATGGTTTTTATTTAAAATGTACATATTGAGGAAAAAAAAGCCAGAAACCTTGACTTCCAACCTTAGTCATAAGTCAACCTCCTTAAAAAAAAAAAACATTTCATTTCCCAAACATTTCCTGAATATTCAATCCAAAATATCTTAAGTGACAAATTATTTTAGCGTATTCCATGAAATAAGCAGCCTTATGGGTTAACATAAGTATGCAACTTTAATTACTTTTGAAATTATTTAAACTTTTCGTTATTTAATACTTTTTAAAAACTTGAATAAAATCTTGAGAAGCGTTTTAAGTAAAACTATTCCTCTTTCGATGGAAAAAGTCACATTACTAGTATTTCAAATTTGAAAACAAAACTTCCACAGTAGGCAAAAGAAGATTAGTGTGTGGACTGGACCTTCACAGCAGTGGAAAAACCACAGAAATGCTCTGTTTGTGGGCAGCATGAGGGAATCTTTGCACCAGCTCAAAGTGTCTAAAGGTTTACTGCTAGTTAACTGTTTGCCTCCTGACATACTGACCTAAAGATGGTGAAACATTACGCCAAACATCAGCATGCGAGCATTGATTTATAGTCAATGTGCTTGTAACATGATAGCAGCAGCATGTGCTGAAACACAGGTTCACAGAGCAGACTCGGTTCCCCTAGACCAGTGGTTTCCAAAGATTTTCTGCCCCCCTATGGACTACAATAAAATTCCCACCCTGCAAAAATAAAAATAAATAAATAAACTGGGTGCAAACATCGTCCAACTAGACATAGACCTATACACATATTTTGTTTTCAAACTCCACTGAAGTTTATTTCACACTTCAGGTTGCAACAAAACACTACAACCCATCTTTACAGTGAAACACTTTTGTGTAACTGTTTGTTTTTTATCCATCCATACCGCTTTCCCCCCTGCAATGGGAACCGCCGCTCTCGACTGAGTGGAGGAGAAAACAAAACATAAAAATGTGATCGTCTTTTTACATTTAAGGTAAAAACAAAATGTTTATCCCTTAGCTGTGTATTCCCAAAACTATCAAAGGGGGAAAATCAATAACTGGAAGGACTCTGCAGTGTGTGTGTGTGTGTGTGTGTGTGTGTGTGTGTGTGTGTGTGCGTGCGTGCGTGCGTGCGTGCGTGCGTGCGTGCGTGCGTGCGTGCGTGCGTGCGTGCATGTGTGAGAAAGGAGCTGCATGCTAAGAACAGTCACAGAGAGGTAAAATCAGGGATGCGAGAAACTCACGAGGGGGTTCCTGAAGAATTCATATTTGGCATAGTTCTTCCTGAAGAGGAATTTACTGTCGCTGCTCATGGAGGCCTGCACCTGAACCACCAGTTCGTGGTCCTCCACACACCTTTCTGTGAGAACAGAAGCAGAGTTGGCACCGCGTTGGTGAGAAAAACCTCGTCTTTGAAATCACTCACAGGGTCTTAGAATTTCAAATGTTAAATTGTTATGTGGTTTTAGTTGATGTCCCCTGTTTGGCGCGGTTCCATGGAAATCAAATCAAATTTTAATCGCGCAGCACATTTCAGCAACAAGGCAGTTCAAAGTGCTGCACATCATACAAACATAAAAATTAACTATTGAAATCTAAAATGTTTCCCAGTGTTGTTGTCACACATCAAAATGTTGGTTAATGTTTTATTTATTATGGTACCAAAGCACCTCTAAGCAGGTGAATCCAAAAGGAACTCAGTGTTTCGACTGTTTCACAATTTTCCCCGAGTTTGTTCCAGATATGTATTTAGTTATATGCAGTGCCAAGTTTTCTGGTGCAAGTTCTGTATTGTGGAGTAGGAGGTTTAATTTTAGTCCCATCTAGCCAGAACACCTTGCACATAATTGCCTTGTCTCCTATTTGTCTATTGGCATATCTCTCTTTCAGTAAATTTACTCCTACATTAACTTAAAATTCTCATTTAAAAAACATGTCAATTTCTGCCCCACATCACAATCAGGCACATTTTGTTTGGCCCATCATATAAAATCCCAGGAAAACGCACAAATCCAAATGGTTATTGTGTTAATTTAGTCGCCGAAAGGGCTTCGGTAGTTTATGCCAAGAGGAACTGAACAAAAAAGCCAGAATGACTAATGCTAAGATGAAACTGACATTTTTTGTCAACTAATAAAAATCCAGCAAAAATGTTGCAGGGAGATTAAATATAAAGTTTCAGTCAAGTGGGAAGGAGGGAAAAGTTTGAAAGGTAGCCAATGAGAGTGGAGAGAAGTGAAATGATTATACTGTGATTGTAGAAGTGAAACTTACTGTAACAATGTTAATATTCCAATTGTGCATTTTATGAGAATTTCATTTTAAAACGATGCATGTGAACTTGGACGGCTGAGATTCCTGCGATAGTGGCATTGCTTCCACCATTGTCAATATGGTGAATGATGCGTGTACTGTGCTGAAATACACTCCAGGATTTGGCCATTTTCGAATTGGAAAAAAAGGGAAAAGTAATTAAAGTCGCTTTATATAACAAGCAATGAAAATAGCAATTAATTTGTGCCTCTGGGTATTGTAAAATTAACTTTTATTTCTTCCACCCTAGAGTAAATATTTCAGCAAGGTCTCAAGAAATTATTTTCCATAAAGACCCAAGAGGTCGTAAAAAAAAAAAAAAAAAAAGCGTGCCTCTTGGATAAAATTTACAATCAATTTAATCGAGTAGATTCTCGACTAAGGCCCCGTTTCCACGGACCCGCTCTTCGGTTGAGCTGAAACATATTTTTGTTGGCGTCCAGCCTCTCGTTTCTGTCACAACCTCCGCGCATGTGCAGAACGGACGACTATGGAGCACATGCTACAGTCACAGCGCCGACTAGCGGCCTGGCATGACAACTGCAGCTGGCTGAAGGCGCCTTCCTGATCAACATCTGAAAATACTGTTAGCTTCAGGGCCTCAAACTGAAATTATTACTCATTCCTGAAATTGTGACAAAAGTTGGGAGAAAAATACATTTGACTAAACCTTTACTAAAATGTGCGACATTGTGTCGCTGTATTATAACAAAATGGGAACATATTCAAAGCCTACCAACACTTGCAAAGCAATTTAGTTTCACTCCTATACTTCCTTCTCCTGATGTCACACTTTGCAATTTTATCAGAGATGTAGCGATTTACCCCAAGAAAATTTGTCAACTAAGGCCGATTTTGAACGCATTACAAAAATGTGTCGAATTTCGACAGAACGTGGGTTGGCATCCCCTGCACCGCTCCAGCAGACACACCCATTCGCAACAACCCAGCATAGAGTAAAACCCAGTCAGAAATGCTAACCTGACTTAGCCACACCAGTCCCAGAGCACCAGTGTTCAGATTAACTGTCCATTTTTTCTTCCATTCATGCCACCAGCAGGGGGGCTTTGCCTCTATATTTATCATCACATCCCCAGTTCAACTCTTGCATACAATGACACAGCAAGAAAAATCGCCCGTTACTATGAGACAAGTGAAGGAGGAGGAAGGAGGGAGGGAGAGGGAGTTCTGAGATGTTGAATGAGGAGGGGCTGTGAAAAAAAGCAGAGGCACTATGAGAGAGGCGGGGAGGAGGTGAAGGTGGAGAGGAGAAGTGGTGTGAGATGGAGGAGGAGGAGGAAGTGAGGATGAGGAGGGGGCCTTGCAGAAAGGATGATGTCATGTATTTAGGCTGATTGCTGAGAGCAGCAAAGCCATAAGCAAAGTACAAGCCACAAATACACAAGCACACATTAAGAGCCTGACCTGCCCACTCACTGCTTTCCTTTCCTCCGTCTGTCTACAACTATTCCTGCACAATGACGGTTAAAGGTTACACCATTATCCTGCAGCTAATTTTTTTTGTAACCATGTTGAAATCACTCAAGCTTTAATAAAACAAAGGTTTTATTTTTTACATTTTTTTGTGAAAGTGTGGTCGCTGTTTGTGCTAAAAACATCTCCATGGCTGCGCGTCAGGGGTGGAAATGTCTGGTTGTGTGCGCGCTCACAGGCGTGCTGGCTACAAGCAGGGGAATTTCCTGTGCAAGGTTAACGGGAGATTGATTGGCCGGGACAGCTAGGGGCTCGTCCGACGGTGAGCCGCCATTGGCCCGTCGAGGTTCTGGTATGACGCTTTAAGTCCAGGCCTCTCTGCCTCTCCAAATCCTCTCCCCCCCCCAACACACCTCCTAAACACCTCCTCTTTCTTTCTGTCTCCTGCTTTTTCTTCATCTCTCTCTCTTTCATTCCCCCACCTCTTCCTCGCTCTCTGCAACTCACATTCCATCTCTTCAGTGTACTTTTTTTTTTTTTTTTTTCCAGAAACACAGCTCAAGCAGAAAAACACACAAAGCGATTCTTTGACTCTATAAATACGATGCTGGTAGGAGGACAAAGAAAGATTCAGTTAAGAAAAAAAAGAAAAAAAAAAAAGAAAAAGAAATTAATAAAGCTTCAAAGGGAGTCCCAGCAAAAAAAAAAGTGAGGAGGAAAAGCGGCTCTTTCTTCTCTCCTTTTCCCCTTTCCAGCCCCTCTTGGGTAAATTATTTTTCGGAGGGTGCAGGGATTGTAAGTAGAACATGGAAAATGGATAATCCCGCAGCTGCCACACCTCCCTCGTCAGGAGATGCAGGCGTACGCGCGTCCAGCCCATGCTCAGGACGCGTTTAGGAGCACCGGCTTCAACGCCCTGCCCAAACAAGCTTATTATGCACATCCACACTGCAATCTGCAACTTCCAGGGTTTCAGGTTGAAATGCACAGACAAACCACCATCACCTCTCTTACTCAGTTGGCCATTTTCAGTTTTAGCAAGATGTTCAGAAATGACGCAAAAGCTTCAAGCAGCTTTTAGAAAGGAAACTGTTTTCTGGAGACGCCCACACTGCAAAAACAAATCTTGGCAAGAATTTTTTGTGTAGTTTCTTGCGGAATTATATTAATACACTTGAAATAAGACAAAACTAACTTACAAGTAACTTTTCAGTGAGATGTAGGAGCTTGCTTAAATCAGTAATTCCTTGACATTGATAAAAGTACTTGTTTTGCTGGTAGATCATTTCACTTAGATGGGAACAATGTCATAAGTAAAATGGTACTTTTTCATCAACATTAAGGAATTATTCACTTAAAAGCGCCTCCTACATCCTGCTGAAAAGTTACTCGTTTTGGTTTATTTTAATTCATAAAGATATATGAAGTAGAAACTGGACCAAAAACACTTTGTATGCAGAAAAGTTGGAAAAAGCAAATTTTTCCAACTACCCTCTTTAACATCTTTAAAATGTGACAAGCAGTCTCCTAAGGTTTTGTGATCCAAGATGCAGATCAGGTGGAAGAAAAAGAAACATCCATGTTGTCAATTTCATCATCGGAGAGAAGCGCCTGAAATCCTATCCCGCCACCAAATACTGTACCCAAGCAGTCCTTTGAAAGTGTGATATTGTACACACTGACATTGCCATCACAACTGCAACTCAACACAATGTGCAGCTCTAGTTGCAATGCAGCACAGTCACCAAAATACACACTAAAAAAGCAAGAGGAGGAGCATGTGAGACTACGTCTGATGAGCTTGGATGTTGAGGGTTAGGTTACAGGTGGGTCCAGCACATCATCTTTTTATAAATAGTTACATATGATTTCATCTGGAGACATAAAATACAGAGTTTCCAACACATAAATTTATTTAAAATCTCAAGGTTTCGCTCCTTTGCGCCACTAAAGCCCCTGCTAAACTCCGGCACAGCCCAGATAAAGTCCATCTACCCCTGCAGAGGCACCAAAAGAGATCCGTTGAAGGCAAACGGATCTCTTCCATTTGCCTTCCACAAACAAAAAAAAAACCCAATATTAAACATATTCCAGTTTAATCTGGTTTACATGGTTTTAACTGTGTATATCGGAGTTTTTGTTCACCATTGCGTCTGACAAAAGTAGCCGTCGTCGATAAAAATCGCTTTAAATCTGATTGCGATAATCTGAATCCACGCAAAATGTAAGGAAGGATTAAAGTTTGACTTCTACAAAGGCAAAAAATTTGCTATTTGCCCTACAGGCGCGTCGGTGCGTCAGAGCCACGCCGGGACGAGTTCCCCTACCGAGGCCGAGGACGGGGTGGTGCTCCACCAGCGTCCAGGCGTTGTCGTCCACGCAGTGGCTCTTGTAGACCAGCAGCTGACACACGTCTCTCGCCGTCATGTCGGCTGGAATCTCCACCACTTTGCCGGCGCCATCCTCACTCCAAATCTTCACGATCTGAAGAGACACACGGCACAAATGAGCACGAGAACAGCGGAGGTCATGTTTTCCACGAGCAGGAGAAAGAGAGAGAAGAGAAAAGTAAAAAATAAATAAATAAAAAAAGTGTGGTGCACGGTGTGTCCCGAGTTGCTCCCAGGAATTAGATTATGCGGAGAAAATAATAATTAAACAACAGTGTCTAAATTTACCTCCATGACCAGGTCCACCCTTAAAAAAGGCTGTGTTCACATGATTCTGTCACTCGAACATGAAGTGGGCTTTAAAAAAAAAAACAAAAAAAAACCCCAGAAGGATGACGTCCAGGAAAGGCTGGCCTGCCCCTGCGCCTTCAGTTCAGCCCTCTTTGTTCACAACACAACCAAACTTCGTCCAACGCCAACAAATATGCATCTGAACCTCCGCAAAAAAATCCCACGTGCAAGAAACGGACACCTTCGGACAAGTCCGCACGAAAAAAAAAATACAGAAAAAAGAAGACTCTTCTTTTAATAATCCCACACTCACACTTCGAGATTGAACGAAGTCGGTGAGTTTGTAACGTGTTGAATTTTGTCATTAAAAATGTCACCACTTGGAGCTGCGAGCGGGTCGGGTTTAAAGCAGGAGAACCTCCCATTGTTGCGCCATTTTGAACCATTCCAGCCCAGTGCCCAAAGCGACATTTAAACCGGGTGTAATGTTGCCCTCATTCGAGTGCGCTGCTGCACAGATAACCCTCGCACAGAACTCTCTCTCACCGAGGGGGGAACCGACATCAGAAAGTGTCTGCAAACCACAGAAATGACGCCGCGACGCCCGGAGAGCCTCATATACGCGTGCGTGCTTGTGTGTTTTTCTCCCCTCGTCAAAGCAGGAATATTTTTCTGCAACTGAAAAAACGCTGCTTTAGATGACATGAAACAAAACAGAAAAACCGGTGATGGCCAAGGGGGCTGGACGGCAGGAGGAGGAGAGAGGAAGGGAGTGAAGGAGAGAGGGAGGGGGCGGAAAATGAAGTCGGAACGAAAGCTCTGCAAAGTTTTAAAAAAAAATCTAATAAAATGACTCAAAAGGATTTAAAACGTAAACTGCCTGGGAAAAAATAAAAAACACAAAACATCACCAGGAGCAAGAACAGTGACACAAAGGCTCACTCTGAAATCCGAAACAACGTCACTGCACTTTTTCTACCCTGTGCAAAAGCCCAAAGACTGCCTCCTCTCTTCCCACATGCGCCCCCCCCGACAAGAAAAAAGAAAAACATAAAAAAGTTAATGCATGACTCATGAGTTTATGTTCAAGAAAACTTTTAAAAACACTAAACCCAAAAAAAACAAAAAAAAGCATGCTTCCAAAACTGACACCGACACTCGGTGGCTTCTGGAAGCCACACAAGCCTCAGAACAGAAAACTGGAGAAGAAACACACACTCAACACACACACACACCCGCGCGCAACCACACACACACACTCACACACACACACATACACAGGTCCCTTACCTCTACAGCCTGTAAGAGGCAACAGTCTGGAGAGCAGGATGGCATTTTCACACTGAGACGTTCTCCAGTGACACAGAGGGACACAGAGGGAGGGAGGGAGGAGGAAGTCAGGAAGGGAGAGAGAGAGGGAGACTGAGCGAGGGAGGGGAGAGAGAGAGAGAGGGAGGAAAGGAAGGACAGATTGGCGAGTCGAATGCAGGAGAGGTGGGGGGGGGGAGTGACAGAGGAAGGACGAAAGTAAATGAGAGACGGAGGAGGCTGCCCGTTGTTCCCGTGCTGAGCTGCGAGGAGCGGTATGAGCAGTCACTCCTTTCCTCCTCCTCCTCCTCCTCCAAAAGGATTAACCCAGAGTGGGATTTTTTTTTTTTTTTTTGAACCAGGGAGCTGCTACCTGTCACGTACTCTCTTATCTCCAGGGTTGTGTTTCATCCACCTGATCCCCCCGTGTCCAAAAAACTATCTCCGTCAGCTCCTTTTACTGATGGCGCCACACCATCTCCCCCCCTCTTTTTAAGACACGCCCACAACTCCTCCAGCACACATGCAGACGGGCTCATACTACCGAGCCAATCGCAGGACGGAGAGACTCATCCCTTATTCTTCTGCATCTTCTGACATTTCCTTTGAGCGGGCTTGACGGTTTCAATTTCTAGCCCCTCCCTTTGCCTCCTGTCCTCCTCCTCCTCCTCCTCCTCAGCTGCATGTGAAATACTGGGCAGAAGTGTTAGGGCCATAGCAACATGTGTAATGCACCCCGACAGCTTGAACATTCACGAGAAGAGGGGAAAAAGAAGAAAAAAAAAGAGGGAAAAAGAAAATTTGAAGTGGGAACTAATTGAATGCGGAGGCGAATGGATAACGTGCCACGCGTTTGGGGCAAAACTGAAAGGGTCAAGGAAGAGCTAAACAGTTGCAAAGAGGGGGGCAGAGAGAGGAGCAGAGGAAAAAAAAAAGATCTATGGAGGAATGTCAGTAATGCAATACTGAGTCATAATCAGGCTCATGTGTAGAGCCCAGGCCAAACCCAGCTGGCCCCTAATACAGTGTGCGTGAGAACTTTGAGGCACACACACACACACACACACACACACACACAAACACAAACACACACACACACACACATTCTTGAAAGAGGAAGACAAAATGTAAACTATGAAGACCATCTGCAGAAGGGTTTTTGTGTGTATGTGTGTTTTTTGTTTTTGCCCCCCCCCCCCCGCCTTTTTTTCCACATTAGTGTTGGACTTTTCCTCCTGACTCATGCTGCAGCTCCTGAGAGCCGGGCTCCTACCGACTACATGGAGTCACACGTGTGCAGGGACTGCCTGGACATTCACGATGAGACGAGCGGCTGCAGGAAGCGATAACGAACATACCGCCGGCGTCATGAGTAGCCAACGTCTTCCTCCTTCTCCATCTGCTTGATTTCTGGTCCGCTCACGTCTCCATCTGATTTGTTTAATTTTTGTTCCTTTAAGGGTTTTACGCCATGGACCAACACAAAAGATGGATAAGATGTTTTTATAGCAGAGAACTTATAAGCAGAACTGGGTCTTAAAGCCATGTCCAATGCTATGAGAACCAAGACACGATGGAGGGCAGGATGAGAAGAACATCAATAAAAGAAAGCAATCATAGTGATTCTGCTATCACAACACGTCATAAATCTGTTCTTTATGAAAACTGAAAAAAAAGGAAGCCATTTTGGAAAAAATGTTTGGATAAAGTTGAGCAAAATTCTGGGAGTTTTAAAAGTTGGAAGCTTTCTATTGGAGTAATCGAGAATTTAACGGGCAGCGGGAGAGAAAGAATTTAAAATAAAGAAGATTAGATTGTTGCAGAAAATCCCAGTTTTAGCTTATTCTGACTAAAACACCTTAAATTTACGCATATATAATCAATGCCATTCCACAATCAACACTGCCTGCTGCAGGGGTATTGAGGCCAAACCCCACACACACCGTGCATTCCTTCATCATGATGCCTCGGACCATGAACACACCTCCATGTTGGTTACATAAAATAGAGCAAGAATATTGCAATATTTACTATATATCCCAAGCATCACATTAGTGTTTAACTTGTAAATATCACACAGATGCCTGTTTATGAGTAAAAATGTTTATCTGTGAATATAATAATTTTTGTCAGTGGCATCCAATTTCTAGCTGATTCAAAACAACCCCCATAATGTTATTACATTCAGAATATTTCTGAATTTGCCTCATCTTATGTTTTGAACATGAAACCGCTAGATTTGCAAAGCTGTGAGAGACATACCCTAAAAGATGTCATCACAACAACATGGGGTTCTTCACAACCACATTTTCTGTCAAATTTTAGAAACGTTTTCATTCCTTATGCACTACTTTGTGATGGTCTAACACATAAAATCCAAATTCAGGACACTAAATCTAGTAAATGCAACAGGACAGAATGTGAAAATGTGCTAGAGGTAAAACATATTTTTAGCTTTACTATTATTATGCATTTAAAACTAACTCGCATTGCCTCATTTTTCCCTTCTTCCTGGTCTCCCTTCCCCCCTTCCTTCTCTTTTTTCCCTCCACTTTAATAGTAAAGGGTGAGAGGTGAAACGCTAATAGGGTTTATTGTCTCCTATGGCAACTTATGGCAACACACACACACAAATGCTATTGCAACATATTGGATTGAGGGGTTACAAGCAGACACCTGCGCATGTATGACCAAACACACACACTCTGGGTCAGAGGTCAAACACAGTAATCTGCACCTGGGTCAGAACCACTTGCCCAAGAGGTTTATGAGCCCCTAAACCTCTTTCTCTCCCTCCGTCTCTCCCGCTCTCTTACACGCACATTTTTACACAAGCCCAGATGTATGCACAATTGATCTGGTTGTTTTAAGCCGGAGCCAGGCTCTTCCTCAGTAACTCGAGCTCCAGAGTGAGAAAGACTTCTTTACTCAGTGGATGACTCTGCACACCGTCTGCTTTTCTGTGTATAAACATTGAACGCAGCCAGCAGATAACCTCTCCAACGGCTTTGGCTCAACAAAAGCACGGCTGCCTGCAACTAACAACTACAAGATGTTGTGGGGGTTTAAACTACATATTTTTTCTCCCCTAAAACAGAAGAAAAAATGCAAAAGAAACGTTAAAATGAGCAAACGAGATTTGCAAGTTCGAAACAAAAATGTTAACGTTTTTGATGTCACTTTCCAGTGCTTTAACTTTGTTGCAAGTTTCTTAAAAATGCCTTCTTGGATCCCTCCAAAAGGGGCCTGAAGCTGCAATATGTAACTTTATGAAAATAATGTTGGACATATTTGTTAAAATTGTCACGGTTATGACAATATAACACGATTGATCTGCTCCACTTTCTCCCATCTCAAGAAATCTGAAGTTTACGGCTCCTCAACAAAAGCAACCAATCGGAGCCAGGAGGAGGATCTTAGCGCTGTCAACCCTCCCTGGGAATGTGCTACTACATGTGCAAATTGTGGAGAAACAACCGTTAATCTGCCTTCATC